ATTCAATTTATAGTTAATGATTTAACGAATTCATGTCTCATTGTGACAGTGACGAAAATCTATGTTGTGTTTGATATCAGAATAGAACAATCAAAGTGTTCTACGGTGAACCGATTTCTGACTATTGAATTTACATTATAAGTCTTGAGTATTTTTTTGAGAATGACTTCCCTAGTCAACTCTCCCTAGAAGAATCTCCAGGGAGTCCCTAGGGATCTCGTTCTTTTGCGGGGACTCCCCGCGGAGTTATCAGGTCAAAATGGATGAAATATCTAATTACCAATAAATTCTTCTTAATTTTTCAAATTAAAAAAAATTCATCAATTCACCCCGGGGTGTCGTCAGGGGAGAGTGGATTAGGGTTAAAAAGACACTTAATATATGATTCTTTTGTACAGGATCAAATCAAAGAGAGACAATGTGAGTTAAAAACTATAGACAATTATCATATTGCCGTTAGTCATCATTAAAACATGGCTAAACAATTTTTCAATAATTTTAGAAAAAACAATTGACATGTGCACATCATTTTAAGTAAAATCTCTCTTTTAGAATGTATGCCAAAGTTATAAGGTCACTCGTTTTCTTAAGTTTTGTTAATCGTAATCTCTCAAATTCGTGTAGAAAAAATACTACCCTGATACTATTTTGATGCATGACTTTTTGCAGCCTTGTGACTAACGTAAAAGAATTTCTATTATATATCAGATGTTCTGTAAACTTAAATAAAGCTAAGCGATATAATGTAAAACATAGGACTAAGTCGCCAGTTGTAAAAATTCATCGAGAATTACCATAATTTAATACAATGCGAAAGGAATTTCTCTAAACATGAATCAAGTGAAGAAAAATTTAATTCAATAGAACGAAAGTAACTGTTACAAAACTATATTTTCTTCGTTTTAATCATGTAAATCGTTCGATTTTACTGATATTATTTATTCATTCAATCGAATACATCAATCGGCCTCATTTAGAAAAAGAAAGCGTATTTTTCCTACAATGGAAACAAGGCTGTTACATCGATTAGACAACTTTTGAACATTAGGCTTAAAGAGTTAATATCAAAGCTGACATTTCTAACTGGTAAATTCATACAAATTGCATCAGTTTCTCTGTAAGACAAGATATTCAAATAAAAAATGTTGCGAAGAATGATTCAAATCAACAGCACTTTAACTCATCTGAATCACTACATATTCGTCATTGCCATACAGATGAGCCAGGGAAGGATTCACACATACCATTTCTATATGATGAATGCCAATAAAAGTGAGTTAGGATTGTTGTCGATATTGTTGTTTCAGACATGCTTTTCTCTTGACTCACACATCACATTCTCCAAAGCTTTTATTCTGTGCTCGCATTAGTCAATTTTTACTCGAAGACTATCTTTTATAAACAGATTAGGTATGTAAAATTTGTGCTATGTTGATTTTACCGACTCACTAGGGTGCCAAATATCTACTTATAACCCTTACTAGCAGTTTAATGTTCTCATCGGCATCTGAAAACTTCAGTGTAAATTTATAGAACTCAGTCATTTTCATAAAATGGTCGTTTTCTGATGATGAAGTCAGTTGAAAAATTATGAGAAACCAATTACAAATTCAGATTCCTTGATCTCCAAAACTTGCTATTCGAACTTCTAAGAAATAGATATTTTCATAAAACAGCGTTTCTGTAAAATACAATCAAAAGAAATTCATGTTTTCTGCAGATGAAACATTTTATCACTTAATTTTAAGTGAATTAAGTGTTAACGCGAAAAGCTTAATACTTAATATTAACAATTAAAGTGTTACGTTAGCAATTAATATTAAAAATTAAGTATTGCGTTAACACTTAATATTAAGTAATTAAGTGGTTAGTGCAAGTATTTTTTATTAATATTAAGTGTTAAGTAAAATCACTTAATTAAATCTCTTAATTAACTCCAATTAACATTAACGGTCCACCCCTACCCACACCCATTCCATCTAAAACTAAATCTATTTCTATCACTTATTTTCGAATTGATACCATGCAGTTGAGCGTCCATTTATATTCGAATTCGAACTAGGCATCTCATGAAATAGAAAACTTGCTTGGCAGTATCACCAAGAAAACGGCATTTAATTACTACTTACTAATACTTTATGACAATAGTGAATTTAAGTGCATCCGATCTGTTACAGCTCAAGATAAGCCCCCAAAAATTTTCAATCAGCTTGATAACAGAGTGCAGCAAAAGATCCATTCAGGAGAGCTATAATCGAAATACTCCATTTTAGTGAAGTTACAACTCAAATTGGTGTATGAACTGGATATTTAATATGAATCTGCACGAGTAGATCATAGATTAAATCAAACTGACTTATTTTAACTCGATTTCTGTTACATTTATCCTCATTTTTGCTCAACGTCATGTGGGTTCATTTTGCTTCGGTGCGTTTTCCACCTAGAATGCATATATTCATTCCCGGGTGCATATTCACAGACGGATAAATCTAACATTTACATCTTTTGAATCAAATCCACTCGCAATCAAGAAAAACTAAACTTATTCAGATAATTACGACAAATATAAATTTCAAATATTTTACGCGACTTGAGCAATTATTCCACGACCTGCCTTCGGAAGAACTTCAAGATATCTCGTAGTTACGAAAATTGTTTCAAATTTTCTGATGGAGACAACATGTAACTATTCAATAATTCTGCAAAGCCTGTAGTCTTATAATCACAACAGATTTTTAACTGAGCGACGAGTCGTTCATCGGCGCCCCTCTGGGACGCCACTCACGACCAGCCACCTCCACTAGTTTCGTTGTATATATGCGATGAACGTGATCCTTTTAAACACTGCATGATTGATTGAAAGCGTCGCTTCATTATATAATTATTAGATGAAAACAAAGAGAATTTTCAGGAAGCCCGAAAACAACTGTTATGGGACTAATTTGATGCAGTTTCATCTACATATGAAAAAAATTACTCACAATTTTGAGAAAAATAAGGCAAGATTCCTGAGTACTTGGACAGTTTGCGTACGTTCGTAGATGTGATAATCTAGAATTCTAGGTATTAAGTTTGAATAAACTCTTCGTGCTACAATAAAAGTTGACATATCAAGTATAAACTGAAGACTTCGAAAAAAGCCTTCAACGACTTAGTGCTTATACACAAAATACAGACATGTAGCTATGTTCAACTGTTTGTTGAAAAGGACCTTAGTGCAACATTCTCCAAAACCATGTTTGTTTAAATAATAACATTTTCGTACGCAATGAAACAAGGATATATCCAGGTGAGCAGCTAGTCGCTCGTCCCCACCTCTCTGGGGCGCCAATCACGAATAGCCGTTGCCAAATTAAGAATTAACTCAGCCGCAAGATGCCTATAGCCGATTCGTAATAAAATCCAATATAAGCATACGATATATATGTCGCATCGAAGTTACACCAGTCGACGAAGTTGTAACTTCGTCAATATCGTCCGACGAAGTTATAACTTCGTCGACCGGTGTAACTTCGATACGACATATATACACCACTATCAACATCATCGAATGATACCCTTAAAAATTTTGCCGACAAAGAATTCCTATCACGAAAATACGATGATCTAAACAGCTCCTAATGCATTATAAACTAGCTTGAACTACGAAAGATTATTAAGAATTTAATATTCGATCCAGCGACAGCCGCTACCTTATTTGAATCAACTTTATTTATTTGTTTAGGATCATAACCACTAATAACGTCGTTGTGATACTCCTAAACGCTTTCGAAATACCAGTCACTCGTCAGTTGCTGGTCACTTAGTTTTACTTTTTCAAAAAGTTCACATGTTCATTATCTACAATAGACCTCTGTGCAACCCTCTTTGTTTATCAAAACGATGACGAAATGTTTTTGAAAAACTAGACTTAAAATCGAATGACTCCGCGTCAAAAAATTTCGGTCAAACTTTAAACGAAGTCATTTTTTTCCTAAAAAAACTTTTTCTCTCCCTAAAAAAAGGTAGAAATTGAAACTTCAAAAATCTGATCTCCGATTTGACTCCCTCGAGCCCCACAGCATCTGATCAAACTTTATAAGGAAAACTATTTTCTCGAAAAACGTTTTTTTCACTAAAAATGTTCAGGATCATAAACTCTAAAAATCTCACGCCAGATTACAGTTTCCCGATCCCGATTACCTTCAGTCAACCCTTATAAAAAAAACTAATATTTTCCTAAAAAAAAGGAAACTACAAAATTTCAAAAAACTAACAACGCCATCGTGTTCCCCGACCCCAGTTACCTTCGGTCAAACCTATCCCTGCAGGATATTGTTTGAGGTTAGTTAAGTTTATACATCTGCTTTCCTATTGGACGAGCGAACGAACAAACGAACGAACGTATTTAACTCGTTTTTCGTAATACCGCCTCCTTCCAGTAGAGGGAAAAATAATTTTAATTAAATTTTCTTTTCTTTAGAATCTTTGTATCTGTTTATCATGCAAGCTTGTGTTTTGTGATCATATTGAAGAAGATCATATATTCACGTAAAAAATAATTTTATATAATTAAATTCATAAAAATAATCAAAATCTATTTTTAGTCATTTTATTTCAACAGAACATGCATATATGCAATAAATTTAAAAGAAAACAAAATTTTTAATCTTTATCTTGATAATTACTGCAATGATTTTATACAACACAAAATTTGTTCACAGAGTCGTTGAATATCCATTTGATGATTTCATGCCAAATATGATAGTGAGATATTTTTTCTCTGCTAAATTTTTATTATAAATATCTGTGAGCGTTTCCCTCCTTCTCTCTATATCAATCAATATATTTTTAGGTGCATACGCACAATCGTTTTTATTCTTCGAATACCAAAATCAACCATAAAATCTCTCCAAAAAATAGGAGAACATCCCTCCATATAGATACGCATAACGAGGAGGACAGAGAGCAGCAGATAACAATGTAATGTTGACTGGTGACCTCTCTGTAACAGACCTGAAATGGCTATAAAATGGTATAATAAGGCGTTAATTTTCACCTTATTTCGCCGTAATCCGTCAGCTCGTTTTACGGACCGTTTTTCCAGCTAGAAAACGGCCATCGTTTTTAACAGTATATTCGTCGTTTTCCGAGCTGACGGAAAACGTCGCCGTTTTTCAACGTTTTATACCGTTTTTACGTCTTTTACAGCCATTTACGCACCGTTTTATTGGACTTGGGTAGCGATAATGGATCCGAACGTATCGTTGAAAAAGAAAAATTGATCAATATCGAGTTGATTCAAAGTTTTGAAGATTTACGAAATTAAAGCAAAAGTTTATCAACAGCTATTGATGGTTTATCGCAAGAGAAGAAAAAGCAAGACAAGCAACTTAATGAACTTCAACAATATTTAGCTAACGAAAGAATAACAAACAAACAATTAGAAAATCGCTTCGATAAAAGTCAACAAGAGTTAAATAAATTAAAATACGATGTTAGCGAACAGAGATGTATGAATCAACAATTAATTCAAAAACAAAATGATCTTGTTGATCAAATGAAAAAACAAGAGAAGGTTAAAAAGTTTTTTGTCTTAAATACATTATTCTGATACCTGTTCTTTTTAGGAATTGAACGCACTTCATGATCACGTTAATGATTTAATTTTCCATCTTGAGGGTGCAGAGAAGCTCCAACTTGAAGCAACATCAGGTGAATTTGCAACTAGTCAAATTGTTATTACTTACAAACCAAAACAAGCTCATCGTCGAAAATGAATATGCTTCGTACTTCTTTTTTCCTCCAGTTAATTATGTTGTCTATGACTTGTCTAATATTTTTTGTTAGAGAAAATATAATTAATTGATCGAATGAAATAAAACCATACTGTTAAAAAATGAAATCCTGAAATCAATAGTTCAACATACATATTTTACTTAAAACAGTGTTCTATAAGAAAAAAACATAACTTTAATCGAGTAATAAAACTATTTATAGATTATAGTAATTGGTGGCTTTATATAAAGGAAAGTACAATTAGATGTACTCTGAAATGTTAACAAGTATTTTCTCATTTCTCTAATATTGTTCATGTATCATTCGTATTAAGATATTAGTATCAGATGACTAAGTAATCAATCATTAGTATAATCGCAACTAGAATCGTTGTCGTTTCTGCCGAAAAGCTTCTTTTCCGTTGTTTTGTTCAAGGCATGCCTTGAACAATAATGAATGATTTTTAGTTTAATAAGAAGAAAGAAAAATAATTCGAAAGAATTATTAGTTCTCATGTGTAGTGCCACGTATTGTTGTTGATAATTTAAGAGGTGAACTATATTGCGTAATCGATTTAGCATCGACAAATTTATCACACAATTCATATTCAGTCGATATCAATGCGCGAATAAACTTTCAAGTAGGTGTAGAAAAATGGAATTTTCGATAAAAATCAATACATAAAAATGTTAACTAAGAAAAGAAATGAGATGATCGATAGATATGGGTGTGTTTGATGTTTTATTCATCAATAATACCTACACTCACGTCCTATCGTCGTAGCGGTTGCTAATCTTTCATTGAAGCCCAAATTGTATCCGATTCTAGTACTTTCACTGAACCAGTGAGTGATTTATCAGTGCCGATCAGTATCTGCTTTAGAATATATATATATGTTAAAGTTTCTTTGTGTATTCACCAGATATTTTTTAAATTATCAGAAAAAAATGACGAATCAATCAATAGTACTACTCATTAGTATCTTTTATCTGTTAAAAATATCAACAGTTGTTGGTAATAATGATATTACCCACGGAAACAAAATTTCGAAAAAATCGCGGTCAACCGCGGGATTTTATTGTACTTGCGGTTCTCCCATGATGCACCGTGGTGTCCTAGAAAAAACGCGGTTTTGTACACCGCGTTTCAAAGAGAACGCGGTGCGCCTCCCTGGTACCGCGGCATCACATTACGTGCTTGAAATTTTTAGTACCTGGGCGACCTTTGATTAGGTTCGGAGTATATCTTCATAAATGTGATATGAAGTCTTTTCCACACTCAAAAGATTTTTCAAGAAAAACCGCGGTATCGTAAGCCGCGTTGGACTCGATTGTAAGTGCGGCAATTTTCAACGCGGTTAGTTGCAGTGTCATAAACCGCGTTGAACTAAATGGCGAACGCGGTAATTTCCATCGCGATTGGTCACTGCATTAGCGCTACAGCGAATATTTACAAGTATTGTCTTTACGTAATTTGTACGATACTTAGCTTGTTATTACAACAATGTATAAGAACAGAAAGGATATCGTGTGCACTTTACTATCGGTAACGTATTATAAAGTTTAATATGAACTTCGTCGCTGCAAGGCGACTTTGAAGTATTGGAACTTATAGTTCACTACACTACCCCATGAAGGGTAACTCACCTGAGCATACCGAAGTGATCAGGTTACCTGTAAAATGCGGTATTCTGCAACCGCGATTATCATCGACTTTTCTGCGTTTGTTTAAAACCGCGTCTGATCGTGTCTTGGGGAATTCGCGTACTAACGCGTTTAAAAAAACGCGGTTTTCAGCGGTTTTTTTAGGGGCGCCTAAAAGGTCTGACTCCCGCGTTTTCCAAATACCGCTTGAAACCGCGTTTTTTTAATGAAATTTTTTTCGTGGGTATCGGTAAGAATAATTTCAATTAATTGGCACATTCATGTAAAATCCTCATAATTGTAAATGAACTTACATATTGCAACAGTTAATATTTGTTCATCATAGAGAAGGCGAATGAATCAGAATTTCTTTTACAGATGCTTTTTTTCATCTTGACAAACTCTTCAACTTTGTAGAGTTTTTATATTTATGATTTCAACGGTTAAAATAAATTGATGTCATTAGGAAATAGAAGAAATGTTTCCGAAGTATTTAATACTCATAGTTCTTGTCAAAAAGTATCTCTGTTTAGTGATATACTTTCATGTCTCAACTAGAAACGTTTTACTTTGAATATTGCAATGGAGTGCATGAGTGTCAGGACATTCGAAATACCCTAAAAATAGTGTTTTTACATCATCTTTCAAGCTCTGGTTATATGTAACCCATCACTTGAAAAGAAAGGCGTCGAAAGAAAAAGTACTCTTTCAGATTATCTGCAAGGCACTTTATGAAAGTTTCTTGTGCACCGTGAAACAAATAAGAGCAAGAAGTGTTTTTTCCTTTCTCTACGTATATCTTGAGAAAAATTGTTGGTTTACGGGCTTGCCGACGTAAAAAATGTCATCGTCTTATTTATAGTTCAAGCTACATCGAGACTTCCGTAACGATTTATTGGTTGACTGAGGTAGCTCAGACTGTACTTTATTTTCTGAAATAGTGCTATATGTGATTTTACCTATCGACATAAATAGTTTTGAAACATTTTAAGTATATGATAAAATTTTGTTATCTCGTCAAAGTTAAAATGTGCAAATTGTTGTTCGGAATTGAACTTTCTCCAATGAGCAATCCTGATATTCTAGCCTTTTCAAATGATATCGAAACACAAAGCAAGTCTCTTAACGGCGTCGATGATAATACTAAACCAAATGAAAGAACAACGCTTGATTGATTGTGCACAATTTCGACGTGATTACAATATTTTGAAATCATGCCATTGAACTAACAATTTATAACGAATCTTTCGTTCCGTTAAATGTCTATTGTCTGAAAAATTTAAATAAGTTAACTATTCAAAATACGGATTTCTATCAAGATGGCTTAGATGATCAAACTATTCGACCAATTTCATCAGAAATCGGAAAATTATCGTTGCTTCGTACATTAACGATTAATAATTGCCCGGTAGGACGTTTGCCTGACGAGATCGGACAACTTCTTTTGTTGACAGAGTTGACGATTATCGGTAGTAATTTGAAATAAATACCTAATGTGATTGAAAATCTATCACTACTTCAAGTCTTGAGATTATCTAATAACCAGTTGATATCATTGCCATCGAATATTTCAAGATTAAGACGCTTAAAAGCATTATGGTTAGATAGTAATAGAATGGCATCACTACCATCAGTAATGTCATCTCTAACAGGATTGAATACACTATATTTACAATCAAATCCGCTCACATCAATTGATGAATTAAATAGCTTATCTGGATGGCAACGTTTGTATGCTAGCCGTTGCAAAATAAAGTACCTCTAGTTACTTTGAACATGGCATATAATAATTTGATAGATTTATTTGGTATTGGCTCTTTGGGAAGATCATCTGGGTGGAAAACGTTTGATTTTAGTTATAATGAACTTGATTTGATTCCACCAGAAATTTACAATATTTTTCAGTAAAGCATAACAATTTCACACATTTACCAAACGAAATATACTATTTGCAAAATTTGAATACTGTGAGTTTGAATATTGGTGAAAATCTTTTCTCTTCAGTCGAATTAAATACAGTTAAAGCAACGATTGTCAATAGGTTACGGAACGTGAGAGTAACTTATTAATTATAATTGGTAACTGTATGCAGTTCAATTGCCTTCTGCAATGAGCAAGGTTTTTTTTGTTATTTTATTTCATTTTATAAAAAAAAGGCAGGTTTCGTAATTTAAAGGCTCATGTTAAATATATGAATTGAAAGAGCATCAATAAAACTGTACTGAGTGTCAAATTGAAAACGATGCTTTAGTAAAACTGTTACAATCAACAACAGGCTAAAATATGAAGTTGTTCAAGTGGAAACAACGTTGTAGACTTCACGATACTTCTTATGATACAAAATTACATTTGATATAACACAGCTCTAAGGGAAAAAGAGAAGTAGTGCGTGATTGCCACCGATTTCCGCTTGCTAAAATACTGTGGCAATTAGAGAGCAAAATAATCCTGGAGCGAGTGTTCAAATAAAGAAGAATTTATCCTTTCAATTATTGCTTCTTGAAGTTATATAATTTCCCTAGATGCCACTGATTTGGAACGATTCTCTTACTTTCCTATTTCGGTTCAGTATTTTCGAGAGGAGTTTTGTCGGTCTCGCAGAGTATCAGCCTGAACTTTATAACGAGTTTCCAAAACTCATGAGAAAAACATCCACATAATATTCAAGATCTGAAAGTCTCATTAGAGATGAAGGAGCAACATGCGATCCCAATCGACACATACTAGTAAGATGAAGTCTGCACACACGAGAGCGCCTTATAGGATCTATGAACTTTTTGTTATTAATTCTTAACAATGTAATTATGTACATCAAACACTTATACACTCAAATTAGTAACTTTGTAAGTTTTCGAAAGCAGAAAGTTTCATTAATATGAATGTTATTTTCATCGTAATACCTTTTCGAAGTTTTCAGCGATCTATTATTAGACTTAAACTCGACGAGTCTGTAATTTCAAGATAGGAGAATCAAAAAAGTTCATGTCTGAATGGCCTATAAAAAACATATGCGCCTTAGCACTCAACAATTCAAAGGGCGCAATAAGTTTGTTTCAATACCATGCAGAGGATTTCAACAAGCGATACAGGCTTTGTAAAAACAATGTCTTTAATTTACTCAGTTATTTTCAGACAACATAACAGCTTTATAAATGGATTGGAAAAAAACGATCTCATATTATCATTCTAACTAATTTTAATAGAATATAAGTAAATATATGAACTAAGACCTGTTAGTTTAGCAAATTTTTTAACGCTATCTGTACAAATATTTGTTTTCAATTTGATTACCTCAGTCTACAAGACAAAAGCTTGCTACGAAGAAGGTGAAATAGTTATGACTAATCACATTACAATGAGTCGAGGGAAACCGATTTTCGTACATTTTATTGTATCAACAAGAATAGAGAAATTCTTGAAACTTTGGCACATTATGATGCATGCCAAGTACTAGCGAGTCTTATGTATATTGATTTTACTATGAATGAGAACCAATAACAAGCTTGCCATGCACTATGTTTTCAGTCGCAAAAATTCGACATAAAAATATTAGAAGAAATTTTATTTCCGAAGTCTCTCTAGTCAACACGTGTCAAAACCAGAAAATTTTCTTTTCTACGCATCTCTTTAATATGGATATATAAAGAACAATGTTAGTTTATTCCGATGATATCAACTCAAACTGCCACACCGACCAACTGCTGAAGATAAAAAAAGGATTTCTCCTACAAAAAATCTTTAAATTCATTTTATGGAGAAAATATAGAGGAATAGAGAAAATGAACAAGTCCAATACTTTTATATCTCAACTTTCGATTTATACTTATCATTGAGAACACCAATACTTCATCGAAGCGTTTCCTCACCAACTAAAAACAATAATAGATCTTCAATAAGAAGTTTTGCGGTAAAACAAATACATTTATGGGCAAAAAATCAAGCTACTTCAGCATTTTCTATTATACAAATGAGCAATATCGAACTAATTTTAGTGCACTGATTGAAACGAAATAGCTGTATTAAGAAATGAATAAATAATTCTGCATATATTTTGGGGGAAAAAGACCTATTGAAAACATCAAAATTTGGTTAGATTACACTCCATAACAACAGCAAATAAGTGTAACGAACACCAGAGGAAAATTCAGGTATAACTAGTGATGGTTTTAAGAAAGAACACAGATCGTACAAAAGAGTAGATATATGTGTGCACAGTGAGAAAAAAAAACGAACCATATATGATAATTAATAATCAGATACAACGTGTTCAATATTTTTTGCAGCTTTTATGGAATGAAAAAAAGAAAAATAATATCAAATACAGACAACAGTACATGCACAATCAAAGATCATATAAAGAGAGAGAGAGAGAGAGAGAGAGTAAATTGAATATAAGAAAATTAAAGTTACCAAGATCATCGATATATAATTTTTTGTTTTAAGATCACTAATTATTTTCCACTTGTTTGTTGTTGTTTCAATTGAAGTAAAACACTTCTATAACGTGTTAAATCTTTCTGTGAACGATTATTTTTCGGATTGAATTCACATAAACTTGTTATTTTATCCCAATCACTGACTTTACCATTAGATGTTGAACTATTACGATTATTAAAAATATCATCTTCTAATGTACGATTATTTGTACGATTTTGGCCTTTCGTACGTTCTAATTGTTCGGTCCGTTGTTTATAAAAATCATCTAATTCTTTCCTAGCTTGTTCCTGCATTTCTTTATGTTTGATTTCTTCTTCTGTATCTTTTTTACTGATACGTGCTGAAAATTCTTCTCTCCATTTTCGAATTTTTTCCGGTTCATTTATTTGTTCACTCAAATCCGATAATCCTTGATAAGGCGAAGTACTTGTTGGTATCGAAGAATAACTTCCGCCAACATTTAAATTTGGTGAAACTGCGCCTAAAATGATTTTTATTAAGAGCAAAATGAAATATATAGTTAATAATTATTACCATTGAAAACATTATTACGTGTATCAAATGCATTAGCAAATAGATTCGAATCTGTATCGCCTGTAATATCAGCTAATTCACGTTTTTCCCGTTCGAGAAATTCAGCAGCAGGATCTTCATCATTATAATTGTAAAAGTTGTTTGATGCACCATCACCCATGTTAGTAGCGTCAGTGTTAAATGGATCGTCAAAAGCCATAATTCAATTTGTAGAAAAGAAAAAACTTTAATAAATGAATAAGCGCAGAATGAGTGATCAATTGAGATTTATCGCTTCCTCAATGATGATTAGCCTGTTTTTTCTCCGTATATTTTTTATTTGTTTTGTTTATTTGCTCATTTTCTTTTCTTCATCCATCGATACTAAATGAAATCTATCCAATCGAATGAGAAAATATTTTAGATGTCACTAGACACTAGCAACTGATTAATTTTGTCTAGGATAATTTTATTATGTGATTTACAGAATTGTTCGAAGAAAATGGAATCATACTGATGATTGAATTATGATTTATTCTCTGTTCTATTGAAGATGATTACTCAGCACGATAACATGGCCAGCTGTTTTGATGTAAGAAAAACCTCGAACGTGCCATTTGGTAAGAAACAATCTGAATTGTTGATACTCTATAATCTTTTCTGAGGATCAAGTTTCAAAACAATAATGAATCGGTTTTCTTTTCTATCGAATGATAAAAACATACATGCCTTAGCTATGACTCTCCTACTAAGACGTTTTACGAGATTATTCAATAATAATGTCAAGTCGTCAATAGAAAATATATTCTTTAGAAAGTTTCATAGAATTAATTACATTTAATAGCTATGCTTATAACGCTACACCTATCATCTTAAAATATTTTCTTTAACTTCGATCTTTGAAGGACAATCGACGAATTATATACGGTTATTCAAATTTTAACTTACATATTCTGGAAGATATTTTTTGAAATCTTTATCCTCGTAGAAGAATGACTATCATACAAAAAGCATACTATTAAAATATAACCTTTATTTTGTGCCGACGTATAAAAAGAAGCAAGAAAGCAAGATCTCATTCAATCATCAGGTGATAATCCTCAGGATCAAAATGCGTTTTGATTTTATTCATACGACATAGTGTTCTAGTAAAATCATGAATAGGCTATTGTGGAAGTTAGTACTAATTAAAACGCTTTTCCTAATTTTTCTTCATTTTTTAATTATTCAATCAATGGTTTGAATTCAACGTTAACTGAAGAAAAGTTTTTCTACATAGTAAATTATTTGTATTTCCCATGGTTGCAATTAGATAATATCAATAACGGTTAGTAGTTTTTTTAATTGAAAAATATATTTATTTGCCATTTAACAATAATTTAAATTAAAGTAACAATTCTATGAAATCATAGCTGGAAGAGTAAAATTAATGGACAGAAAGAAAGAAAAACCGAAAAAATTCGAATTTATATGTCTATTGCTTGTCGTGTTGCTTCGTTGATTCATCTTCTCCGATTACATATTTATTTGGATCATCAGGTTTATTTTCAAGACCTTTATAAAATTTATTTTCAGCATCAGGATCTGTTTCGCATGCTTTAAAATAATTTTCTTCGCCAACAAAGCAGATCTAAATAAAATAAATAATTATTTCAATCGAACTGAAAGTACAAAACGATAAATAAGTATGCTATTGGTTTCATAATAAAAGTGAAATTCAATATACAACGATATCTTCATACTCATGAGTCTCTAAATTGTCAAAGAGCGTTTCTTAATTTTCATAAATAAACACTTCACTATCAAGATCAAATATTTCTTGTAAAATAAAATACATTCAGCAGTGTCAACTAAGAAAAACAAAACATTTCACGTCGATTTTTCATTTAGTTCTTAAAAATTAAAATTAACTTATTATGTATGTTGCTTATCTTAAATCTCAAGTAGTGCGTCCGTTTTTTGATAACAACATTTTTTACAATCGCAAAAGAATGTTTCGTTGAAATGTTTTCTTTATCGTTCGAAAGGGTCGATGAAAAAAACAAGGACTTTTTTATGATTCACAATTAATAATCTCTCGTAGTTTTTTATTTATCAACTTCAGTTTTACCTCATGTTCATCGGGATCCGATAGAATAACAACTTTAACTTTCGAATCAGGCAAATCACCTAATTCCATAGACGGTACTAAGATCGTATGTTCGTTGTTTTCTATTAGTTTTTCTATTGATTCAACATCACTTATTGGACAAGAAAATGCTTTTCGACCATAACCAGTTCCACGATTAATAGGAGTTTTAACTTGAATCAATTCCAGTTGACACTGATTATCGAGAAGAAAACCAGCTTTTGTTTTAACATGCGAATCTTGATTTGTTGTTGTTAAACCATAATAAAGTTTCACGTGGTTATCATCGGATTCCTTCTCATTTATTTTCATTTCTAATAAACGTGTATAATAATCAACAGATTTCTTTAAATTAGATACGTTTAATGATAAACATTGCACAGGATTACCACCAGGAGAAACATCGTCATTAATTAATATGAATCGATGACCATCCGGTGAACGTACGATTATTGATTGTGAATTATCTGTTTCAATAAATTTTTTATCGAGCAGTTGACGTGCATTCCCCACAGCTTGTCGATTACGTATTGTCACTGAGGAAAAATCATTTCCGTATTCGTAACCTTCAACATCATAATTATAGTTTAATTCAAAGACAAAAACAGAATTTTCATTTCCATAACCGACCATCGTTTTTGACCACGGCGATACAAAATCACCATTGCATTGTGCTGCACAGGCAAAGTCCATTTCTTCATGGCGTAAAATTTTCATACCTAAGATATCACAAAAAAAGTGTCTCACTGCTAAACGATCAGTTATTTTCATTGTAAAATGAAGTAAACGTCGATTGTCAGATGTAGATTCTTGAAGTGAACTTCCACTGGACATGGTTGGATGTTTTACAGGTATAAGACTATAATTGTCTGTTTTGTTTTTGTTTTAGAATGTGATAAGAGAGTAGCATGTGAAAAATGTGATATTATGAATGTGAGTTTACGGTTGGTCAAAATAAGAACTAATCAAGTGACGGGAACCTTGACAGCAGTCAAGGACAGGAGGAATTGAAATAGTGATATCATGTTAGAAAGCACAACATTTTCTATTGGAAGTTTTAAGAAATTGTTGATTGTCTACTTCATTTAAGTAATGTAGCGAAAGTATTGTAAAATTAAAAAATATAAGTAATGATGCTAGTGTAATATTTATTGATTGTACGTAATCGAACAATATTCTTTCAAGTATAATTGTTATATTGCACAATTACACATATTTATAGTGCAATGAAATGATTTATATTTTTTAACCTATTTTGCTTATTGCCTTTTACGAAACGAAGGTAACATTTTTGTTTTTTGTTAATGAAAAAAAGTTGTTCTCTATACTTTTTTTTTTCTCCTAAATAATAATCCGTCAAGATCTCTAGCAAACATTTAAAGATGTTCTTTTAAGTTATAAATTATCTTGAATAAGACTCGGTTGATTTTTGTAAAGAGCTTTGCGTTCATTTCATGTCGGATGCTTCGAAAAGTTACTTGATAGGAATTGCTCCGTATTAAACTACTTTTGCTTTTTCGAAATCGCCAATCATTATTTTCTGTTAAAATATTTGTGAGGTAAAAAGTTGAATGAGGACTAAATTTGTTAACGAAAGCGTTGCATGTCTACTGTGACATGCACATCGTTTACATACGAGGTTGCCCTTGAGCAGTAGAACTTAGGCGTTGTTTCATGTGACAGTGTATGAATCGATGAAAAGAAGGTTTATTTTTAGAATTCTAAATTACAATAGGATTCTGTTTTATACGAAGGATACAAATATACTGGTTGATAGAGTAGTTGCTGTGGAATATCTTGTCTTTGCGGATATGCAGGTATTGTTCGTGTAATTGGCGGATGATTGACAACGAGAGTTGGTGTTGTGAATTGCATTGGCATTTGCATGCACTGATTCACAGGTTGTTGTTGATTAGCTAACCATTTTTGATGAGCTTGTATGTATTCCATAGTGTGTTGTTCTATTTCTTCTATTTGTTGTTGTGTTAACCATGCAAGCTGTTCGAAAGCTGATGGTTTATGTTGTTCGATTTCTTCAAAACGATTTTGTCGGTCGATACAAACAGAATCAGGTAAACGAGATGATGATGATGATGTCAGATTAGAATTTGCGGGACGGTAACGTTGCCGATCGCTACTACTTGATCGCGTCGGTTGAAAGTGTGATATCATAGGAGTTTCAAATACACGTTCATAAATAACTTCTCGTTGCGGTGCTGGTTTGTATGGTAGCCATTTTTCGATAATGATTGATTGAGGTTTTGGTGGTAACTAGAAAAAAAAGTGAGGTAAAATTCGAATTGAAAATAGAAATAATTGTATATACCGGATGATTACGTTCGATAATAACTCGTTGTGGTGATGGGCGTTCTTGAGGTAGAACTTTAGTTATTACTTGAGTTTCTTGATGAGGCGGCGGCGTTGGTGGAGCTTCTCGGAAAATTTGTGGAGGTGGTGTCAGAGGTTCTGGATCTTGTTGTTCGATCACTAAAGGTGGCGGTGTTCGAGGGTGTGGAGCAACAATCTCTACAAATTCCAAATCGAACAATGATATACATTACTGAGTAAGAATCTTTTCTGCGAACGGATCTTAATCAACATCAAGGATAGTAGCCTGAAAATTTGTGTTCCTGTACTGAGTGAGATACGAGATTTAATGAGATTATGGAGATGTTGAGTAGGGAGTGACAATTACTTGTAGGATTTAAAATTAGTGCTAACTAAAATTTGCCTGGATGATCATTCCTGTATCCACTCTCGCTAATGCAATCTTTGATAACAAAATTTGCAGGGAAAATTTCTCTATAATATCCAGGTTTATATATTTAACTGTCACTTCATTGTCGCCCCACCGTAACAAGCTGTAACTCGGAGCAGAGTGGCAGATTTGTCTGTCCTCGGTGCTCTTGAATTCCAAGGTTATTTGATTTAGAGCAACAATAGATGCTAAGCATCGTGAAATCAGTAATTGTTTAGACAGGAGAGGTGACCGTAGTTTCATCAGCTTATATTTTATATTTCAGTAAAGACACAACAGCTAGAAGATTATTTTGTAGAAGAAGGGTGTGTACCTCGAATGATCAATGGTCCAGTTGGCGGTGGTGTTGGTGGAACAAGATAACGAATAGAAATATTTTGCTTATAAGTTACTTGATCTGAATTTTGTTTTTTAATGATTTGCGGATTTGGATCCTTATTTAATTCTGGATGATTTTGAAGCAATATTTCATATTCATTATCGTCAGATGTTCGTATAGATGCTGTTGATAATGACCGATGGCCCATAAGTGAAGGCATTTCTTTCCTGGGATAATGTTCTCGAATAGTGATGTGTTGTTTCGAGTTTAAATTATCAATAGATTTTAATACTGACCGTGATCGATTTTGTTCGGAAGAAGAGTTGATTTCATCCATCGATGAGTGTAGACTTGATGTCATACTCAATGTGTCAATATCATCAAGTCCATAGATTTGCCCTATTTGATTTCGAAATTGGTCGTCATTGGTTTGTTTCGATGCAAAATTGATCGGGACGCTAGCATGAGTAATAATATTTGATTGATCCTCATCTGGGCTTTTCTTTGTGTCTTCATCATCATTGTTTTTTATCGGTTTAAATTGATTCAGCGATGCAGAACATTTATATTTTTCATGGTACCATCTCGAAAAATATTGCTTATCTATATAGGAATAGGGCGTCTTCGTGGAAGATTCCTGAGTTTCATCGAGTGTTGATATTGTATTTGTTCGAGTACTGCTGTTATTATCATTATTCAGAGAAGAATTCAGGTTTGCTAATTGAGAGTTGCACCCAGTATCATCCGTGATTTGAGATGAGTCTTGATGGCTTGTATCAATTCGACCATTCAAATAGTATTGATTAGATGAAGAAGCTTCGATTTGAACACGATTAGCTCGATAGACATGATTCATTGAGTCCACAGACTAGAATGCAATACAGAAACAATCTGAAAATTTTATACAAAATTTCTAATCTATGTAAATGATTTGATCGGTGAAAAATATTCGAGGATCTTTTAATGAAAAAAAAATGACTCCGAATTCGAAACTACTTATCTGTTTTCCTTTCGCATCGTGATTCGCTCCTCAGTAAAACATTCAATCCTGTTACTTAGACACATTGCTCATTCATCTACTGAACAGATTCTTTCAAACGAAAATAGTTGAATTGTAAAAAGACCGTTTAGCCAAAAAAAATTCTTCTCCGAATTGATCAATTAAATTCTCTCAGTTTCATAATTTACTAGACTATTTAAGAGAAAAAAATCGATTCTTTCTCTTTGACACTCATGCTCGCAGTTGCCCTTGAAACTTGTTCCATGGCTTCAATGCATTAGATAACAACATTGATTCAACAAACTTGTCCTAGGCTCGTACGACAAAACTATGCAGAATTCACGCCATGCTACATAATAATAACAGCAAGAGTCGCGCATGAGAAATAACTATTAAAATACCTCGTTTAATTGTTTTTCTTCGTCACGATTATTTTGTAGCATATTTTGAATCGCTGTAAAATTTTTGTAAAATGGTTCACTATCAATCATGTTCGCATTCGGGTAGAGAATTTCCTTGCTTTCTACAAGACTTTCATCATGATGAGTTATGGTTGCCATTAAGTTACGTCTTGCATGAATATATTACATTGATATGCAAAGCGACACATGAATGATTTTCTTTTCTTTTTTTTGACTGTCAAAAAAAGGCAATCAGACATATTGTGTCCTTTATTCTTTTTACGGCGAATATAACTAATAAACAGGTTCTCTTCTATATGCAGCGATAGTTTCGAAGGTTAAATTAATTTTTTTCTCCTTCCTATATTTAGATATGAGTGATTCAATAGTAGAACAGATTCCATCATTTGTTGCTGATTATTCATCTCAATATGGTTCTTATACAGCTCAAAGTTATGCCATAAGAAACATATGTAAACAGCCCTCCATCTATCCCTTGTATGGGGATTCAACTCAAGCATTGGTTTTTCGTACATATGGTCCATGGTGGATAAATATGCCATCGTATAGAGAAACAAAAAAGCACTTTAAACGTTGGGAAAATGAGTTTACGAGCCGAGATTTTATTGATATTCTATATTCGAATTTAGTTTATCAATGCATAAGTGTAGACATTTATGAAACATATAATCCCGGTTCACTTCAAGTTGTTTATGCTGGAAAAGAAGAACAAGATGAAAGTATTAGTTGGCATCGAGTATGGAAATTTCCTGAACCGTTTAGTATTATTCTGAGAAATGATCAACAAATTTTTATTGAGAATGGTAAACATTTGTTAATTCATCATTTTTGTTTTTGCTCTTGATCAATCAAGCTCCAACTTTCGAGAGAATTCTCCTATCAAAATGCCTAATATCAACCGCTTAGATATTCACTATAAAGAGATAATTATATTGAGAGCCATCAATGTTTGTTAGATACGTATTCACAATCTACTGAGTTCCAATGTCAATATCACCAGCAGCTATCAAATAATTCGGGACTATAGATGTGCAAAGCCAGCCTCGATCCCTAAATAAAGATGAAAAAAGCGAGACTTCCGTACTCCGGAGTTACGTTTTGTACTAAAGAAATAAAAAATACGAGTAATGAATAGGGATGTGACAGTTCCGCTTTAGTTCCTTTCAAAAGCACTGTTCAGACAGTTCCTTAGATCTGAACTTAGATATGAGAACTATTGCACCCCTGGTAATGAAGAAGGATTTTAACTATCAAACAAAGAAATTTTGCAGCATTTTCCTCTAAATAGCCATAGACAATCGAATAGCAAGAATCACCCGGGCCAAAAACATCACTTATCCAGTACCAAGAAGAAGGTGGTCCCGCACATCTCTACTTTTCACAAATGATAAACGAAGACTCACGAGTTAAATCTACCGAGAAAGGCAATAAAAATTTACAATCAACTCTATCCCTGCTAAGTCTTATCTTAAAAGAAAACGATTGGATCTATGTAATACAAAAAATCTTCAAAGCTAAAAATCAATTCGAAATCTTTCATCACGATCATTATGAAAAAAATATTTTAGGTCGCCAACAAATAAGTGACATATTTCCGAATAACATTAATGCCACAACCTCGGCGCTTCGATCATTGCATTTAAATACGGACCATGAGCAAGTATCAAAGATTTATACTCTACATCCATATCCACCGGCGGCTCGTATGCCTCGCATCGTTAAAATTCCATTGAAAAATAAAGTCCCATTTCCAACGCGACATATTCGCTTGGAATTCGATCATTCCACGACTAATTATTATATAGAAATTGATACAATTAAATTATGTGGTGATTTACTAAATACAAATCAATCTGCACCAGCAGTTCGTAAATTAATTGACACGTGAAAAAAAAACATTTCCTTTTATTTTTAGCAAACAATTCAAACGCAAGAGGAAAATCGTGAAGGCGATTCTCAAAATTCTTTAGCATCACTTCCTTTTGATTTACTTTTTCTTATCGTTTCTTATCTCGATCTACGCTCATTAATGCAGTTGTCCTCAACATGCCGGAATTTTCGCGAACTATGCCTTGATCCACTACAATTCCATGCTCTGAATTTGAAACCTTATTGGAATGGAATTACGAATGATGCGATTCAGAAATTTTTTCTCGATCATTGTGTTAAAACACGATATCTTTCATTAGCATGGACAAAATCCATTGCATATGAATCATTCAATCAGTTATTAATTACATGCTCACATAATCTTGCTCAACTTGATCTTGGCTGTTGTTCATATTTAAAAGGAGAATACATTCAAGTGATCGGTGATTGTTGTCCAAATATAGAAATTTTAAATCTAGAGAATTGTTCAACATTGCAAAATCAAGATTTTTTACCATTAAGAAGTCTTCATCGTATTCGATCATTGAATGTCTACCGAACGAGAATCGACTACCAAACTTTATTACCACTAATCGACAGTAATAAAGAACATTTAGAACATATCAATTTAGGTAAGATTAGAAAAGCAGACTTTAAACTACGCTCGGTTTTTCATGCAGTTTTTTTTCTGTTCTATAGTTTTATCTTGATTTCCGATTTAGAATAATCCCTACAAGCGAAAAAAGTAGGAATCGAGTGCTTTCAAATATTTCCTGTTCTATCCAGTTTGCTAAATATGAGGTCTACCGAGTGCAGTTACTTCTTATACCCATCAAGTGTTTCCTAGTCGATGTATGCAATAATATTTTATTGATTTATGTCAGAGTTCTGGAAACTTTGACTTGTATCAGGAATATTTTTTGACATAGCGCATGACCTCGATCGGCTGCTCAATGGGTTTTAACAGGAATCATCAGGTCTTTTCTCACATGGAAAAAGATCTATGCAACTAGTAATTTGCCTAAGGTTTTTAACGCTTCGGGAAAGTAATGAGAGTATTAATTAATATTTTCGAGCCGAGCCTCTTAATCATTGGTAAAAGAACTACCAAAAATTTTCGAACAAGACTATCGAAGCTGTTGGTCTATATGAACTATCACAAAAGACTTTTCGGCAGACGACAATGAGACTTTTTCTAATCTTTAATGTAATCTTATTGGAGTTCCTCCATATGTATAATGGATTTATAACGTTTGTGTAAAGGCAGACAGGAAAATTGTTCTATTTTTGTTGTACGCATTTGTTTTTCAGGTAGTTGTCAAAACTTAATTGATACTGTCGGCATTGTTAAATTACTGTTTGCTCGCTGCTCTAATCTTCGTTCGCTTGATCTTTGGCGTGTAGCTATTGTGCCACAGAGTGAATTTTTATCAATGGTCGGCTTACCATATGATAGTTATGAAGAAGAGCGACGAATTGCAAATCTAAGGGAACACATTCGAGAACAATTAGCCATCGTTTATTCTCTCGTTAACATGCCAGTGCAAATAACTTCAATGACACATATGGTTCATTTAAGTGAAATTGACATTGGCTGGACTGATCCACCACCTGGGTTTATTAAAAGGTTAGTTCAACAAGCTGGTCATTCTTTAATTAAAATATTTCTCACCGCTTGTAGGCGTAAGTAAAAATAAGATTACGATATTCATTTCAGTCTACTTTTATAAATTAGGTATCAGCAACGAAGATATAGTTGCAGTAAGTGAGAATTGCCTTCAATTACGTCAACTTGATGTACTTGGCTCGAGGGTTATTCAAGAAGCAAGCATTGAATGTATACTTAAACGTTGTGTACATATTGAATTTGTTGATATATCATTTTGTTCGGAAATTTCGGACGAAGCAATTTCGATATGGATAGGCCGATATAAAAATTGTTTTAAACGAAGCTATCAACCCATCACTAACGATGATATTTATTCAGAATTTTATTAATTGGTTTGTTTTTCCTGTGATATTTTTTTATGGAGTTTCCGTGATTTTGTTTTGCATGTCACGATCTATCTTTCTATATATAGAATATTATTTCTTTTATTACTAAATAAAATAAACAATCCGAAATAGTATATGAATATCGTGTTTCAATGACGACACCGTATTGGCCTATTAATAATAAATAGTTTGTTGTGCTTCTCTTTGTTTTATTGTGTAAACTAACCCGTCCTTCTTCTTCTTCTCATGATTAAATATAACATTGAAAAACACGGAATGACTAGTACCTTCGTTTGCTTGTTCCTTTTTTTTTTCATTTTGATAAAGCGCAAACCGGAAAAGGAAAGAACGTGTGATCCGTTGTTGAGAAGACAAAAAAAAGGAAATACTGACTCCCTTCCTGCCATTAAAACATATTATAAATCAATTCTATTCGACATTTAAACTAGTAATTCACATGAAGAAAAATCAATGTCTCAATTTTACGATATAGAAGTAATCATGCGATATGTTTCACATGATACATTTGTTCTAGGTATTGAGCTCGTGCTTTATAGATATACCCTTTAATTTCATCATCGATGTCAACTGTAGTTACTGCTTGCCCAAGATAATTGATTGATATTTGTTGTAGAACGGACATAACTAAGACAAGAAAATAACCATCAATGAAACGAACGTCCGATTGAATTCATTTACTTGCATGTATTGGAAGCATATTATTTTTGTAATAATATGTTTTCAACCATCGACATAGATTTGCTATTATATTCAAAGCATCAACACATGTTCGATTGTGAAATTCACTAAACGACCACAGAAAATATGCATAGTCCATGTGATTGGCATATAGAACGATCGAGAGAGAAATTATTCAAGAGGAATACTGGTAATTTTCAAACTATTAAATGCTTGAAAGTATTCAATTAATTTACTTCTAATTTCACAACACGAAAAATAGGAATTTTCTCTTTTTCTCAACTTTGCTCGAGAATACATCCTATTCCGCAATGTTGAATATTCCAGAACCAGTTCCACTCATGGAACCAATTCCATCTAATTCCGGCAATTTCGTTTATCACTTCCGACTCAATTCCGGAATTACACAGAATCCCTAGGGATTCCGTTTAATTCCCAGCAATTCCGCTTTCACCTGATTCCGGAATTGGATCATCACTATATGGATAAAAGAAGATAGAATAGTAATAGAATTTGTACTTCCGGAATTGACGGAACTGATTCCGAGGCGGAACTCGTTCCGGAATGTTCAACATTGCAGAATAGGATGACTGCTCCTTTGCTTCTATTGTATTGTCACTGACCTAGAATATTTATTTGAATTTTTAGTTTGAAAAAAAATATTTATGATATGCAAAAGAAAACCTATCTTGTTGGCCCATTTGTAAAAGAAAAATTATTTCTTAAATTAGAGGATGTATGCTTGTGACAAAAGAAACTGGTTAATTATATCCAAGGGTTCTAATTTTGATTTTCTCCCTTCTTAAATGAAATTTTTAAAAATGGAAATCATAAATAATTCAAATACATATCATGTTGCAATACTGTAGCAAATACGGATACTAGTGCTTCAATAAACTCGAAGTCGTGAACTCGTTATTCACTATTTACACTAACAGTACGTATCCTTAACTAGAAAAAACCTGAGGTCATATTAACACAGAACACTGTAGAAATTTTAGCATCATTTGTATTACTCAAAATCTAGATATATATATATCGATTAGAAGATGTAAGTCTTGATGTCGAGATATAAAATTTGCATTCCATCAAGAAATAGTACCGAAGTCTAGTTTAATTGTATCTTTTGTTTTCGCGCTTTGAAAATCTTAAGAATACTCGCGAAAATGCAACTAATGATGCATTGAATATTAGAAAAATAATTTTCCAATGAATAATCCTCTATTTTCTTTAGTGTTTATTACATTCTCATTGGTTATCATTATCAAGTGGGTTTTTTTTAGAAATGACGAAATAAGAATTAACTTACATTAGGTCCCGCTGTTGATGATATTCAGTTTTTTCATTGGTATTGTTAATAAAATAGTCACCGTCTTCTCCGTCGGAATTGTGAGTATTACCAAAGACACGTCGGATCGTGCTTAAATATTTCATGATATAAATTTGACAAGCTTGCTCCAACATATCTAAATACGGCTTTTTTTACTAGTCAAGCACGTGTCGTTTATTCAACTAAACTAACCATATTGAAATCTGTAGGAAAGTTCAACAAGACAGGAAATATTTTTTTCATTAATTTCAGGATTAAATATTGGATAGATAAATTCAAGCATTGCTATGAAATCATTTAAATCAATATCATTGAATATGAGAGGTTCATCTTTATGATTTTTTAAAAGTTGTTCACGAAAAATTGGTGAAGCGGCTGAAAGTGAAGCTTTATCACACCAAACAGTTTGTTGATTGATAATTATTTTTACATTTGTAAACGGTCGTTCGTGTAAAAAATAATCATGAACATTTATTTTATCTTCAATATTTATTAATTTTCTAGCATATTTGGATATATTCTGTGTCGTCATTGAATGAACACGTTTTAATTTTTCATTATTAGATTTTTTATTAACGGAAATGATGTCCATCATAATAGAGAATAGAAAAATATAGAAGAATGTTTTAATTAAAAATTAGATATGATAATATAAGCGCGAAAAATTATTAAAATTTTATTTTGCTTTTGATTATACCCATTTGATCTTATTTATCAGAATCCTTATTACAGATAGTATTTCTGTGCGTCATCTTGAATTTGCGTACCACTTCAGAAAATCAGAATTGCAAGTTATTATCAGTCATTTTATTACCATTACTAATAACTACAAGGGCATACTAAGTCAGCGAGACAAAAAAACAATTAAAAAAAACCGAGAACTCTGTCAAATGGTAGATTTACCATAGGCATTCATGTATGTGTGTGTCCCACCGTTCATCTTTTCCTAGCGTTTATTGTTTTGTATTGATATAAATAATCATGTGCACGATGAATTCAATTAGGTGAGATGGATTCTTTCGGTTAGAGAGAAGGACAGAAAAAAAAGAAGAAGAAAAAAAAATGGAGACTAGTTTTCCGCGTCTTTTCTTGCCTGACGGTCATGACGATTAATCATTTATAATTTGATCTTTCCGATCTTTTTCTATTCTTTATGCAGCAATTTTTTCTTGTTCGATGGTTGAAGTAGAACATCGCTAACATCAAAAATACTCTTATTTTATGATTGACTAAATGAAAGACAATGTAAATTGCGAATTCAACGATGGCAAATAGGCTGTCTCCAAAAATATATGTTTCCTATAATTCTCGATATAGATTGTTGAGGAAAATATTCAGAAAACAAAATCAAATTAAAGAAACATGTACTTTAAATGCTAGCTATTTTTATTTTCTTTATGCGCATGTATCGATGTTCGTTCTAAGAAAAACGACTAATGTCTCAAGCGGGTATTACCCAAAAAATCGTAGGTTCGACTTTGATGGTCGTAACTAACAATTTCCCTTATGACTTTTAAATTGATGATAAATCAATAGTTGAATCTTATATTGAAGTGTGATCCGGTAATTAGACTTTTGGCGTCAGAAAATTTAGATTATCACGAATGATTGAACTCCAGGTATTTCATCAACGAATATGATTTAGGCACGCGATCGCCGTGTACTTGATAAGTCGATTAGTAAAAACGGCGGAAGAAGCTCTTGTGTGCAGTCGAGTTGCTCATAGAAAGAAACAGCGATAGGATAGTCGACGAAGACAGTGAGTGAGTGAGAGAGAGAGAGAGACACAGAGAAATAGATGCAGAGACAATTCAATTTTTTGTGTCTTTTCTCTTGACAATGTTCAGCATGTCGTCGTTGGCATCTTGTTTTCTTAGTGGTAATAATAAAAAGAAAATTGGTTTGTCTACGAACGTTGATAAGGTGATAGAGATGCAAAATCTAATTTATTTTTCTATTGCTTTAGTATTATTTTACTATTTTAACTCTAATTGGCTTAGGAACACGTCAGCGCTCACATAGCCATGCGCATTTTAACAGCACTATCCATAACGGAAATATACTTTTCTCGTTCGAGATTATCAGTGAACTTTTTCTTCTATGTTTCCCTGCTGCATCTTATTCTGTTGTCTATCATTTAGCATGGACAACATGACACTTAGTCTCCTTTGTTCTTCTTCTTCTTTTATTAACGACAACCAACAAATTGCTTAAGTGCTCTTGAGACAAAGTAAAACTAGATCGAGGATGTTAACAACGGAACTTTAGCAAAGCCATTCTCGAACATTTCACTTATATTATTCCGATAACTGATTACATGGATCGATCAATGCATAGTCTGTTTAATATTTTGATTGGATATACAGTTTTTATTATTACAATGAATGCCAAAATCATAACGAATAGTCTGTATATAAACAAATGTTCTAAGAACTTTAATTGATAATAAAAAAAAAATGTCATTTATTGTGTGTTTAGATCATGATAATAGTGTATATACATAAAAAAAAGAAGACGAAGACTAACATTACTCTTGTTAACATAAATATGAAGAATGTTGTATGCGTAAAAGAGAAAAGCGTTTTCATTATTATTTTTTTCACAAAACTGTCGTCACAACTGCTATAACTAATCGAAGAAAAATGCTGTGTGCGTTCTCCCCCCTCTCTCCCTCTCTCTGTCGTCTTCTCTTCCTCTTCTCCTTCGTTCTCTTTTGTTCTGTTTGTGTGAGTCTAGCTGCTTTGACGGTTGATGATGATGATGAAAATAGAGTGGCACTTTTCCATTATTTGAAATGACATAACTGAAAGAGACGAGCACAGTAACAAAAAAAGAGAAGAGAGAGAGGCAAAAAAATTTTCTTTATTACTTCCCTAACTTGATTCCCATTTTAAAACTTCTCTTTTCATTAACATCAATGTCGTTTAGATGAGATAAAGTATCAGATTATTACAATCCTTATTGTCGTTTATCAAATGTCATGAGAATATTTCACTATCGGGCTTGTTAGCCATTGTATTTCGAATGATTATCGGAACGCAAAACGTGCGCACATGTGCACTTATGTTCATTGTACTTATTTACTTGATGTTTGGTGCTGCTGTTTTTAATGCTTGTAAGTAATTTATTAATAGCTAGATTCTATAAGTGTTCGGATTTTTTTTCGTCTATCTCTCTCTCTCTCTCTCTCTGTCTAAATATATATATATATATTTCTATATTGTGTACATTAGTGGAATCAAAAGAAGAAGCCCGTCAACGTGCTATACTTAGACTTCGAATGGCTCGTATTCTATATAAGAATGATACAATTCAGAACGAGTCAATTTTTAATAGTTTAACAACAGCCATATTTGAAAATCGACATGTACGCAGTGGTACAGCAAAACAATGGACATTTCCTGGTGCTTTCTATTTTTCGACACTTGTCGTTACTTTAATTGGTAAGGTTTATATGAGATTGATTTTTATTTTTGATTTCTATATTTAGGTTATGGCCATACAACACCAAAAACAAGTATAATTCGTGTTGCTTTTTGTTTAGCTTCCTCTTATAGTAATAATATGTTATTTATTTCTGTTTAGAGGGAGGAAAAATATTCTGTATGATCTATACAGTTGCTGGAGTGTAAGTTGATCTCGAGATTAATAGTTTGCATCTATTGTATACATTTTTCTCTTGATAGACCTCTCAATTTGATTATGTTTCAATCAGTGGGCGAACGATTGAATGCTATTATCTCATTTGTATTATCACGTCTTAAACGTTTATTCGGTTTCCGTCGTCATAAAGTATCCGGTTTTGAGTTGATTGCTGTTGAATTCGGCATGACAACAATACTTGTGCTCGGTGGTTCATTTATTTTTTGTAAACAAGAAAGATGGTCATATTTTGAATCAATTTATTATTCTCTTGTTACATTTTGGACAATTGGTAATGAAAAAAAACAACACATTAAAACACAAGTTTATTTCTTTTTGTCTTTCTTTCGATTTTATCCAAAATAGGTTTTGGTGATCTTGTTCCAATGGCTAGTGTACAACGTACTGGTCATTCACTCTACTCTCGTTGGGGATATTTCATCTATACAATATCATTTATTTTATTTGGTCTCGCAATAATGGCTTCGTCTTTGAATCTATTGGTACTTCGTCTAGCTCAGTTTCATTCCGAAAATGGTATTGGCGGAATATCAGACGTTCTCGGTCGAAACGAAGAAGATCTTATAGCTGCTGCTATTGCTGAACATCGTGCATCTATAAGTATTCAACAACGTAATCGTATCTGTTCGAATGTGGGTCTAATACAACAACAGAAAGCATTGTCATCCTATTTACCGATAAAAACGTATTCATGGTGGTCATTGTCATCATCGAGTTCTAAATCAGATTCTAGTAAAAATCCACAAGTAGAGACCGCTTGCTGCTCAGGATATTCTCTCATCAATTGTAGAAAACGTAAACGACGACATTGGCAACTACGTCGATCGCCTCAAAATATAAAACACTTATGTTATTTCAATCAAATGTTAGAAAATCATAAACTGGCATTCGTACGAAAACAATTGATGCCTAATCGATATAATCATCAAATGACAAATCACATATCAGAAGAAAATACGCAGAAACAACATAGAATATCAATTTAAATAAAATGATTTATAATACGAATAACAACAGCAGCCGAAATTTCGATGAATAGAAAGGCAATGAGTTTCACGTCGATCACTAATGTTGCTATCTATTTGTACATTTTCTAACAAGATCAATGTGCTCTTTACATATTTCGACGTATGTCTGCTGTTATTTGACATTTAACATATGTTCTCGAGACCTTTATTTATGATTAAGACGCTTTCAAATAGACAAACGTGTCAAATTGTTTCCTAGGAGCTCGTGTATTGTTTTGTCGTTAACACCAAAGGAATTTTATTCATAAATTGTAATTGTGTTCTTTTATTATTTTTACGAGCATATTTTTAGCCAAAATATATAGTTCTTATTTTTTAAATACCTACCAAACAACGATGATGTACTGTTAGTTAAAGATATATTATAATCGAAAGAAGAAAGGGCTTCATTACTTCTTTATTGAAAAACTAGAAGGACTTACAGTATAGAAGATTAATAGTCTTTAACATTATATATATTTCTATAAATATGACTCGTGAAAGTTCATAGTTTTCTTGCTTAAGATTTTGTACTTAAAAACTTTTTCTCTCGATGACAACGGGAAAAACAAGAATTATTTTTGATTTAATTCGATATTGCCTTTTAAAGACAAACAATCTATCTGTATTAAAATATCTGAACCTGATTGTCGTATGTTTACGTCTTAGTATTGTTTTCTGTAGACTTGATAGAAAATTAAACACTAGTAAATTTTTTTCAATCCTTATTAAGCTATTCTTGTATTCGTTTGTTTATTGTCAATATAGAAGCGGCTTAATCTTTTTCTTCGTCTTTTAATCATATCTTGCTGCTGTCTAGTCAATGCGTAAATGAAAATATTCTATTCGAGAGAGAAATATAATGCATGATACATTTATTTCAATTAAGCGGCTGAATATATTTGCCATTCAATCATGTTTTTTTTTCCATTTGAATTATATATAAGTGCGAATGCTAAATTAACACTTTCATTTGAATAATTTATATTATTAATTGAATGATTGCTATTATCCAGGAAACAAGAGAAAAAAATAGAAAGCACTATTTCTAACGAATTAGTGTCTTTTTCAATATCAATTGTATTTTGTTTTCTTCGTTAGGCTTACATTTATGATAAAATAAAAATGCGTAATATCGACAATAAATAATTGAAGATTAGCTATTGTAGATGCTCGTTTTAGATTGGTGTGTTTTCTTTTTGTTTTCGATGAGAACAGATACACTCGAGTTTCTGGCATTGAAAAAAATATAGACTATGTTAATCTATGCCCTATTGTGCTGTGGCTAAACCACGGAGGAATTTTTTTTCTTTTATTATCAATACAAAAATATGACAAACAACAATGAATTCACGTCAAATGTGAGATCTAAAATTGTAAAAGAATTTTCTCGCGTTCCTCAAGTTTCCTGTAGACTATTGAAATAGTACATTCTAATGTCATGGCATGTATGTGTTACAAAAATAATTACTTGATTATCGAGATTGGCTGAAGAGTGCAATGTCACTTCAGCTACTGATTATTACCACGTATATAGGATTAATTCAGCTGCTTCTCTACTTGTTTTTTTTTCCGAGGGTACTTTCACTATTTACTTTTGTCTCAATAGTAAAAATAGAAACCAGCTTCGTCATGTCGACCTTTTGTTCTAGTTCTCATAGGTTCAGATTTTTTTTTTATCAAAGCTCGATAAAAGATATACTTTTATCCCTTCGACTCTTTAAAAAGACAATTTATATTATTATTAAATTTACACTTTTCTATACACGTAAACAAGCAGAGGCTCTCATTTCGGAATAGTCTTTTGTAAAATTCTCGTAGATAGAAATATCTTTCTAACAAGTTTGTCATTCTTTCAATCTCATATTAGAAAAAGGATAGATACTTTTTTTCCTGTCTGTCTTTTATTTCACACTCAAGGAAAATGACAAAGTACAAAGAAAAAAAAAGAACACGCTATATCATACAATAACATGAAGAAAAACAAAACAAAAAAAGGAGCAAAAGACACAGAAAAACAATTTTTTTTGAGAAATATATGTTGAAGAATCATCACCAGAAATGATACTATTAACGCAAACGACAAATATAAATCCTCATTATAATACAGAAAAGACAAAAGTCGATTTCGAATGGGGAATGTCAAAAGGAAAACAAACAAACAATAATTTCATTTTGTTTTTTTTTGTTGTATAGACATACGTTTGTCAAATTAAAATGAAGTTGAGAGGAAGAAAAGGAAACAGGGCTGAGCGCAAGTTAGATTTTTTTGTTTGTTTCATAAAATTTTTATAAATTTTTTTTTCAAATATGTTAAATTTTCTTTCAAAAAGAAAAAAAAAGGAAACTTCTCTTAATCATGATTAATTCGAAATAAGCTTTACACGAATAATTAGATTCTCATAGAAAAATACGAAATAAGAAAACAATGAAAACTTTTAATGACTCGTTTGATCAGGATTGATTTCGACGATATACTGTTTGTTGTTCGCTATAGGTTCTAGGTCCGTGATAGAAATAATTATTTGATTGTTTCTGTACATAATGACTTCGATGGGAATTATTGCTAACACGATAATTCCAATATGATTTTGTCGATGAACTAGATGGTGATGTCTAAAAAATAAAAACTTGTCATATATTTGTTTAGAACAGAATAGATTATTTGAAGTGTAGAAAATACAGAAGAATGAATGCGGGATATTACAAGGACGACTTCGTTCTATTTTGTTGTTTTTTCAGTCAACACTGACTGCACATAACAAGTAGCTGCTTGCACTATTACTTCCCAGATATGTTTCTAAATGAGCTGGTTTATTTTCGCAGCCGAACGAGGCAAAAATGTGCCCATAAGGTTCGAACTAATCGCCTATTTCTTCTAATAGTGTCCTTGATTGTTTTATATTAGGACTAAGTCTATTGCCTTGTTTTTATCGTCTGATTGAGCCATGATGAATTCTACTTAGTAGGTTTTATTTAGACGTGCGAGTCACAAGTAAAAAAATTAATCAGAGAAAAAAACACGCCTACAAGCAGTTGGAGACTAATTATTCTTAAGATGTAAAAAGAGTTTCAGACCAATCCGATGTCTTAAAAGATATTTTCATAACAGAAAATAGGATCTCGTGAGTAAATTTTTTATTTAATAACCTTTCAAAGAGTCACACTACCGTTAAAATGTGGTCTAAATTTGAAGTTCATCATTAAGGCCAACTTGAGAACATTCTACAGGAAGGATATACTCATTAATCACGATCATTTTTCAATGGAGAAAAGCTTCGAGTTTTATTTTTTTTTCTACGTCAACAAGAGTTACAATCATGTTAGCGAGTTTAAATTCTCATGTGAAATAATTTTATGTCGTGAAACCAAAATCTCTATGAAAAGTCTTTCTATGGCGAACTAGAAGTTTAGGAAGAATGAATATATTAGTTCGAAAGTACATACCGATCGACTTGAATTCGAGGATGAATTTGTACAAGGATGATGCATATTATTGTAATTATGATATTTTTGAAAATGCTGATTATCTCCAACAAATAAATGTTCATATTCATAATGATAATAGTCTTTAAGATAATGGATATTAATTAATAATAATTCTCTATCTTCATGAGTTAAACAAACAGTACTCTGCTGTATAATTGCTGCTAAATGTTCAAAAAATAATAAGCATAAACGAGCATTAATTAAATCGATTTGATCAATTTGTTTTGAATCATATTTTGAATTTATCATTTGATTTTGTTGATAATAACGACGTTGTAATATTTCATTAAGATTATTCGTTATATGTAAATTACTTATGATTGTTGATGGTAGAAAATGTGTAGCAACATATTGAGCAATAACATGAATTTGTTCTGGAATTGTTTTATAATCAATAAAAAATCTCGAACACATATATCGTTGCATATGAATCATTATGGCAACATCGTAAAGCTTATAATTTCGAGCTAAGAGATCACAATATTTCTATAAAAAAAACAAAAAGAAGATAAAATCAGTGAAGACAATAGAAAAAAACTAGATACTTACTAATAAACCACCACCGCGCATTGTTTCAGGTTCATATGTAGCAATTAATTTATTATTCAAATGTTCAAGTGCTTGATGTAAATTCTTATAAACAGAATAGACTTGAATCAAGCTTGTCGATACAGGTGCCATTGCCATTGGTGATGTACAAAATACTTGGTCATCATCTTCATTAGGAGAATCATCGGCATCGACTTCAATTCCATCATCAACATCTTCATTAATCGTAATTTGAAATTGAACAACTGAATTTAATTTATCATCGTCGACTGTTGATTCCGATGGATTTAATGTTCGCACGCGGGATTCAGTCGATGCTATAATTGAGAAAAAAAATATGCATATATCACTTGTTATTTTCACTTCAAAAATAGATATTATTAAAATCAACGAACAAGCAAAAACAAGCGATAATACCTTACGGAGAGTACATCTATCAAGAACACCGAAAAAGTACTAGTCTAATCTTACTAGGATTAATATGTGATAGATGATATAATCAAATTTAATTAATTCAATACGATTAGTTTTATCTTTAGAGCATTATGATCTTTTCTAGTTTGGTACTGCTGACGCAGGTGTGAGATACGGGTCTCTAGTTCTTTTTTAGATTTTCTTTGGTTAGATAAGAAAATTCATCTTTAAATAAAAATTTGAAATAAATGAATGTAAGTCTCAATAAAACTGAGAAAGACATAACTATAGATGTACGAATGCTTTTTAAGTTCAAAAGAATGCACAGAACCTTGTAGTCATTTTTGACTTTAACAGTCTGACATTCACATGGTTCTCATGATTTTCTACATCTTGAACAATGTTTACAATATCATGTGACGGTGAGAAACATTTTGCGATTAAGAAAACACTCGTGTTCTTTTATATATCGGATTTAATTCAAAAATAATAATCTTATTCAAGGTTAAACTATCAAAGTTTTAAGGTTATCTTTGAAATTTCTTATATAACAAAACGTAGAATTTCAATTATAGGTCACAGTTATCCAAGAAATGATCTAGAAACATTCTCCGGTTTTCTTTAGTTTGACTTACGTTTTTGATTTTTCGACGCTGGAATAGTTGTTATTGTTGCAAGTGTTTGGCAATTTATAGTACTATCATGTTCACTCATCTTGCGTGATGATGTTGGTGAAAAAGATCCAAATTGTATTGGACTTGTACTTGTATTTTGATCTTCAACTTTATTCTTAAGAATAGTAATACCATTAATAGCGTCAATGACCAAACTTTTTGTTTGAACCTTTTTTGTTATAGATTCAGGATTCGATAATTGATTGACATTTTTATCTGATAATACTGATTTAAGATCGATTTGAAATGAATCAACGCTGAATTGCCATTGCCGTTTAATATTTTCAACAAATTTCAATTCAAGATTTTGTCCCAATAAATTCTGTAACGATAATAAAGCCCATGAATCTTGTTCGGAACTTATTTTAATATTCTTCTTTGCATATGTATCGAGTACAGACGATATAAAGTATTGTGAACATGTGGATGCAGTTGGTATATGTTCAATTAAACACGATGATACAATATATTTAATTATTGTCCATAGATCACAGAGATAAGGTTCATTATTCGATGAGAATAATGTTGTTTGCTGTTGAGACGATAATGGTGTTTTAACAATAAATAAAATGTCAATATCACGATAAACAAAGTCTGAATCTTTAACAAGAACATATGATGCTGCACCGCCATATAAACGAATGTCCGATATATCAATTGAATGTTCATTCAATTTCAATAATACTCGCCGAAGAAAATCTCGTGGAGTTATGTGTAATGTTGGAAACGTCGATGTTGGCGGCGATGGATAAATAGGAATTGTTGGCGTTAGTACACGTCGTAATTTGTCAATTTGTGGCAATGTTAAATACACTGGTGAACTATGCATTATTAAAAAGTCCCAAAGAAATCGAATGACGTAACTGCTTTACTTCTAGAAATGTGTATATATATATAGAGATATATATATTTTTTTTGCGTGTTTGATCGATGACACAAATAGATGACGATGTTATTACACAATTACTCGAAATAATAAAAAAAATACTTTTCTAACACCTAGACTTTTGTGAGTAAACGAAATGAATTCTTTTTATAAGAGAATCTGGAGGTTATTAAGCGTGGGTTTATGCGCTCGTTTTTCCCCGTGAGGGTAAACGAGTGAGAATGAATGGAAGGAAAGCAAAGACGATTCGTTTCGATTTTTTTCGAAAGAGAATAAATGGCAAAAAAAGAATATGCTTGATAATATTTGATTGGATGAAAGAAAAAGAAAATCGTTGACGACATCTTTTATGCGGTGAGATTTTTTCTCTATTATGTTATGTGCGACATCATAAGCTACTTAGAAAAGAAACTCATATGTTAACGGGGTTTTATGATTGCGATAAGAATTCGAATGCCTAGAATTTTGAAAGAGGAGCGTATTTTCTAAAAATCGAGTGTTCTTTTTTCGCTGAATCGAACGAATCTGTTTTATTCATGGCAAATATAATACTAATCGTGTGTCAAAACTGAAATAGTACAAATGTGATCATTTTTCTTTACGTGTGCGTATCAAAACCGAAGATCGATAAAAGCAATCCTGTCATCATTTTCCTTCGATTCAAGGAAAACTCATTCGACTTTAGCGTACATCGAAATGATTGGTTTAACTTCAATGGAAATTTTCTGTCTGAAGATAAATAATCACTTAACACGCAACACAAATGAGTAATTGTTTGTTTATCATATTTGATAAATTACGTCTTGAATGTTGATCTAGACATGATAACAACACTTATTTCACTTTTCTCGAAAGAAAAAACGGCGCTTGTCCGCCACTAATTGTATCCGAAAATAATCTTTCTGTTTCCGATTAATATCTTTCATCTAATAAGCACATACGCCCGAACCTCGAGCAATACGATTCAAGCCAGAATAGATATTTGTCATGATATATGTAACGATGATGAAACGTCTGAAAAAGGTCACCGATCGTTTTAATGAAAAGACGAAGAAGATTGTGTCACTCGAGTGCAAACAAAAAAAGAAAGAACAATTCTTCGTATGCAAAGAAACACTTGGAAGACACAGTAGAGTGATGTAAATGTACTTAGAATTCAAAGACATTTTACCGACATAAGAGTTGTTCTTACCTGAACTTCGAATACAGTATTTAACCAGTAGTCAGCTCTATTTTTTTCTCGAATATTTAATTAGTAATGTTGAAGAGATACACGAGTTTTTTATATAGAAAGAAAGAAGGAAAACTGGAAGAACGATGAACAAACACATCGGAGTAAAAATCGATAACGGTCAGAATCTACTGGAATATACTTGAACATTAGGAAGAAAAAAAAATCGAAGCTTATATACGATGCACTGCGCATATGTATGCGTTCGACGCAAAGAACGAGCAACGTAGAAATGATAAAAAAGATATCAACAAGCAAAATTATACAGCACTGTTCGTTCTGTTCAATTCAATACAAAAAAAAGAGCTGCATAATGGTGAAGTCGTACAGCTGTACTGTGTTATAATTGTGTTTTTCTTTAGATCGCATTATTCCTATTGTTAAGAAACTCGTTACCTACTGGATACAGACTGCATAGGGGTTGTGTTCAAATTTCGATGCGAAAAAGTTGTCGAATAATCAGGAGAAATAAAATTAAGAAGGAAGATCTCTCTTAGATTATTCGATTTTAGATTAAAACTAATGGTAAAATTACAAAAATTTGAAATCAACCCTTTGCTATCCTTAAGAGCAGCAGTCCTTCAAATAGTTTTAATGTGAAACTTCATACACGAACATTTTCTAGTTGTAACTATTTTTAACAATATTAATAGTAGAAGTATTTTTTTTACGCCCGACAGATCTAATCTAAATCATGTGTGGTTTTCATTTATTTTTCTTTCAAGCTTTTCCTACAATTTTACACATGCCTATCTTATTATTGATTTGAGATCGAATGAGAGTAATTTTTCCGATGAGCGCGGTGTCTACCATATTGGAATTAGAAAATTCATGTAATATAGTCTACTTCTTTTTCTTTTTTGTGTACTCAAAAAAAAAAGAGTACACTATAGAATCGGTCAGTGTGTCCGTCCGTCCGTCCGTTTATTCTATAACTCTTCAGAATTACATTCGATTGAGCTGAAATTTTATGCACAGAATTGTCTCATCAATATCTAAGTCGAGTTCGAAGATGAGAAGGATCCGTCAAGAAATGGCTGAGTTATCGAAAAAATTGTCATTTTTGATCAAACCATCCCTGAGGGGGAGTACAGGGATTTTTCAAAAAACCTTTTTTCTCAGAATTATCCACAACATATATAAATCGACTTAGTTTTTAACGCTGATTCTGAATCTGATATTAGTTTGAAATAAATCGTAGCTTTCTAACGAAACATCGCCTGAAAAACGTCTCAAAATGCACAAAAACTGCATCCAGAAATCAAATTGCCTAGTTTCTCATGATAATTTTGGCGTTCAGACATTCTAGAATGACTCATATGTCCCATGCACTTTTTGCAGTGCACATAACTCTCGGATGAAATCCGAAGTCTCCACATTTATTTTTATCTATGATGCAATTCGGTGTACTTTGATATAAAATTTTTTGTTGATACTATTTATGATTACAACGTTACTTTCTTGGAAAAAAATAGCCTGATAAAGTTTTTACATGCGCGGCAAATTAAGTAGCTTATTGATAACTTTATCGTAAGTGCTATGTATGCCAGTTTATCGATAAGTGAAATTTGAAATATCGCGAACATTTAGCATAAGTTATTTTTGAGGCTTGTAGCATGTTTTTCTCATGTGACTCGACCAACTCTACTCAAGCATGGCTGAAAAACAACTAGCTCTCAACATTTCATATCACGTTATCTAACATACATTAAAAATACTAATAGAATCAATGCTATACACTTATATTTTTGTTTTGGTCAATTTGTAACTGTGTCAAATAGTTCTTTGATGTAACTCGAAAGTATCTAATGTTGTTTTCTACAGATACTCCACCCAATTTTCTGAATTAAAAGTAAAAATATTCGCTGGTTTGATCGTTTCTCTAATTCAAACGATTTTTACATAAACAAAGAATCTTTTAGATCGTTTGGAGAATTTCTTCTATTGAATTGATATGAAGATAAATATAATCAACAATATTTTTCAATCTAGTTTCATTCATAATCCAGTTTTTTTTTTAGAAAAAATGCCTAACAGAATCCGATAGCAACAGGGAACATAACGAAAATGACAAGTAGGTCTTCTTCTTCTTTTTATCGAAAAATGAAAAAATTGTACTTCAAATGTAAGATTCGACATGACTTAATGCATCAGTATTCTCCATCTAAGATTAATCATTGTTTAACAATTCAATGCGGTGATTTACGTGTTAGGTTTTGTTGTCTAAAATATTAGTACATTATTTTTGACTTATCGCAATATGTTTTTCTTGTTTGTTATATTGTTAATAATCATCGATAGTTAATATAACAAAACATCGATATGACAGTTGACGAAAATCATGATATCTAAAGGTTAGACACTTTTCTTTTTATCTCTGGTATAGAACGGCGAATGTCTTATTTTTGTGTTTTTCAAGCATGCATTATTAAAAGGCAATAAAATCATAAAACTTCGAATTTCATCGTAAAAGAAAACAAAAGAATAAAATCTCTAACATGAACAACTCATAAACAAATGATGAAATTCAGCTATCATCAAAATAATTAAATTTTTATTTACTTTTTAACTGAATAGAACACATGAAAGAAATTTTTATCAGGACTACGATCATACGGAATACTTTAATTTGTCTAGTTTGAATATTTTTCCCTTTAGAAGCCTCCACGTATTCTTCCAACGCATCAAACTAATTTTTTTTGTACCGAAAACAACATGATCAGTGCACATCTATCAAAAAAGGGCATTCGAGTGTGACGCAATTCTTACAAAGCAATCCTACGTTTTGCAATTTTTGTTCGTTTCACGTAATGATTGGCTTATTTGGTAATATTTTTTCTCTTTTGTTTCTTTTTGCATCATCAACAAAAACTATCAATATTGATAAGTAGACGTTGATGTTTCTCACAGTGTTTTTTCTCTTCTCTTATCTAATGGTTATGGATGAGCGAACGTTGGGTTAACTCATCAAAAAATCTGAATGTGCCTGAATATAATGAGACGAAGAAGAAAAAAGCGAAAGAAAAGGGCAATGCACGGTGGTTTTGTGTGAATATGAGTAGTTGCGGCGACACGATACCCATTGATTGGCGATATGGTTATAGTTGATAAATAACCTTGAGAAAAAAACCGAGAAGGAGAGATGAGAGAGAGAGAGAGAGAGTGAAGGGCTACTACCATCTTTTTTTCTTCTCTTGATTATCCAAGTAGTATAAAAACCGATGTCTTCTTCTATATAAACGCTTTCTTTCGAAGCTTGATATTCTATTAGTTTTCCTATTAGTAGATACCCGTACCCTAAAAAATGGTTGCCATCGAACGCGTCGGATATGTTTATCCATCAGTACATCTTCAAGAAATGCTCTCACTTGCACAAAAGCCAACACCATTGGCAACACCAACGCCAACACAATATAACAACGTAGCATATAATGATTCCGTTGCTCGTGTTATGAATGGTAGTTCAACACAAAAAATTACACCGGAGCAATTCGGCCTTGCTAACAATCCATCATTACAATTTTCAACACCCGGCGGTGGCTTTGTTCAAGTATTTGGTCCATTGAAAACACCTGGCAACGATAAATTCTTTCATGATCCCAATCCAGTTGTCATTCAAAAACAATCAAAACCAATTACATACGTGCAGAAAATCAATTTAGCTTATTATAAACCACCTGCACCACCAGCACCAGGTCCAGTTATTATTAAAGAAGTATGTCAACGAAATTATCTTTTCTCATACACATAGAAATTTATATTTTCTTTTTAAAGGTACGACCACCACAGGCACCAGTTCCCCCACCACTCTATGTTCGCATACAACCACCACCACCACAAGAGCAAGCACCACTAGTCATTCGTGAAGCTCCACCACCACGTCCTAAACAAATTCCAGTAAATATTTTTTTTCTCTCTCTATAATTATTCTAATCAACCTAATGCATAATTTGTTTTCTAGACAACGCATTTAACAAAAATGTTACCACCAATTCCTACTCCACCACCAAATGTTCAAGTACGTAATGCTCCTAATCAAGCAACACTTGAACAAACTTTGAATAACTTGGGTCTGACATCAATGTTACAATAGAACGATATATATGTACATCAAACATAAACTGCACTTTTCTTTTTATCCATAATTGCTTGATGAGTATAGATAATTTTATTTTTATAATTCAATATTTTACACGGTGGTTTGTGCGAGTATGCGATCAATCTATTTAGTTGTTCATCTATTCTTATTCTTATATATTGTTTTTTCTTCTTCTTTTTATTATGCATGAAATTTGTATTTCGCGAAATCATTCGAATTTTATCCTTTTTATCTGCTATCTATCTTCTGTATCATCGAAATGGCAAAGTGAAATATCTATATTTATATAGTATTTTCTAGTCATCGATGGTACCGTTGAAATGAGCGGACAATATTGTTAAACACAAATGATCAACACTCAATACACACTTCGAATATCTAATGTTCGAAAAAAAATTCATTAGTAAAAATATTTGAAAAAACACAGTTTTTTAATTAAAATATAAAAAGTAACGGCCAGTGTTTTTTGAAAATCATTTTCTTTTATCTTATTCCAAAATCATCATAGTGAAGTTCGATAATAACAAGACAAGACGTAAACATCATTATAGGTAATCATGCAATACGCACTTACGATGATCCATTATTACATCATCGAATACGCAAAAAAAATATTTGAAAAAAATTGGGCAATATAGCAAATTTGAAGTTTTTTGTATCTACGTTTTGTTTGATTTGACAGCAAGCACACGACATTGATGTATTGCAATACAACAAAATTTTAATGAGACGGAAGATGACTCTCACTGATCAGAGGTTAACCATGAAAGAAATCAAGGTAAACAAGCGAGACAAGTATCAATCAAGTTAAAAAAATCTGGACAGAGATAAAAAAATTGATAATAAATACCATGGTCCATGTGATTTCGATGTTGCTTATAACGAAAGCATTGCTATTGCACGCAATTAAACGAAGCTATAATGAACTTCTATCTTAAAAACAAATTACAAATAAGGAATACTTAATTATCCTTTCTATATACAAGATATCCACGATACGATCTAAGTGTGTGTGTGTTAGCTTGTTTTTTATACAATTTATTCATAACTTACTAATTAGATAAATAAGATGCATCGACTATAGGGTAGTTTTTATTGATAGAATTTATATTTTGTTAACTTCCGAATGAATAGTTAAATAAGTACTCCCCTGCTGTTCACTACTCCATATCAATCATTACGAATCATCAAGAATTACCGTAACATTAACGTAATCAGATGGTGATTTGCCGTATCCTACCGTAAAACGGTGTAATGTTGGCATTGCTGATACTTTATTTAAAATAAAATATAGATGCGCAATATGAATTATTTCTTCACTTTCAGGAATATTTTATCATCTATTTTAATAGCGTGAGAATTATATGATTTTATGTTTCAAGAAAGTGGAAATAGTCGCAAGAGCTATGGTAATAAAAGTCGTCTATCGTAAACGCAAAGAAAATAATATTCATTTTCTTTTTTACTATTGTTAGTTATTATTATTTGTTCTACAATGATTCCGATTAACAAATAGTTTAAAATTGTGCGAATTCAATCACCATCATGTATTGATTTTGATCAAATGACTTATGAATTGTAATTATGTTGTTTATTACACGTCTTACATTGTAAAAAACAAGAGTAAAATAATAAACCTTTTAGGATTTATGAGTAGAGGTGTAAATTATGCAATGGCGCCGCCACTACCGTGGTACAAAATAGCTCAGTACGTTTTCGGATATGTTTTTCCTACTGAAAAACTGAAAAATCTAATTTTCATCGATATTTTGATAAAATGATCCAAAGTCTGATATGAACGTGAAATGCTGTTCAAGTATTTTATTAATCATTCGTTGTATGAAAAAGTCTGAGAAACTTCTAAAATTTTGAGTTTCAAGACGAAGATACGAGAAAGACGCATTTTTCAGTCACCGCAATTGAAATCAATCAAATTCTGAATAAAATGATTTAAACTATACTGAAATTGTATGTTTTTTTAAAATTTTACATGGATGGCACAGTTTTTTTTATCAGTCAGGGCTCAACTATTATTTTCTATCGCTTTCATTTCAAAAACTAGTGCAACCGAGACGATTTTTTTAAAAATTCATCAAAAACACAAGCGCATCACCGCCGTGGATGAAGAAAACCGTCGCCGGTATGGGCGGAAAAGTTTACAAGGATTTATTATTCTACTCTTATTCAGTGCTGCCACCTTTTGAAGTCCGAAAAGCAGAAAATAATTTATAAAAAGCAGAAAATGACAAAAGTTTGTTTCTGGAGAAGCAGAAAAAAAGCAGAAAGTATATTTGCGATATAAAGCTATTTGTAAACTTTGTTTTTTTGTACTAATTAAGAACTTTCACATCAAACTTTAATGTTTATTGAATCAAGAAAAACAATTAATTAAGAAATAAGTAAGATTATTGAACGCATTCTTTTGGATGTATAGTTCTCATTTTATTCAATAGCTTTTAATAAACCTCTGTTGAACACATCGTTCATCGATTTCTTTTTACTGGTTAATTCTTGGTGATAATGACTGGCGATGCGCCAAGCCCGAATCCAGCCAAATTCAAATGCTAGATTTGACTGGGGCTGTCTAGATTTGATTTTGCTTTTGGATTTGAATTGGAGAGGATTTGACTCGAGTTGAATGTGATGTACCTCCCAAAAAGATTGTAGAGTTTCAATATGAAAACTCATAAAATCCGACTAGATCTTTGTGGCATTTTTATTCATTTTTTCTCGCTCTATTCCATAGTGATGCTAGATTTCGCCTAACATTAAAACAATTTCTAAAATTCGACAAGATTTGATGAAACATGTGGACAACAAAATCAGAATTTTAGTCAAATCTTCGAACGCTTTTAATGCTAGTCGAAACCTAGTATCACTATTGGACAGAGCGAGAAAAACTGACTAAAATGCTGCTAAAATTTAGGCGGATTTTATGAGTTTTCACACCGAAAATCTACAATCTTTATGGGAGGTATGTCGCATGAAATTTGATTTACTTATCATATTAATAATTGTATTCATCAAACTACAGCAAAAAAGAATGTAAGCGAATTCAATGACTAATAAAACATACGAAAGGAAGAAAAACATGCGTAAAGGATCGATTGGAGACAAAAAAAACACATTAGTGGTTGTTTGCACCTAGTAGAAAATAAAGATCATCTTTCTAAAATTGAATGAATTTGAATCAAACAAAATCATCAGCAATTATTGATCACGATTCTTTTATAATTATGAAAAAAGATCTTTGAGATGAAAAATATTCGTTAAAAATATAAATAACACAGTTTAAAGAAAAGCAGAAAAATCTTCAAAAAGCAGAAACGACAGAAAAGAAGCAGAATTTTTCTGCTAAAAGCAGAAGAGGTGGCAGGCCTGCTCTTATTTCTTAGTGTACTCAAAAAAATTCTTTTTATTTCTATGATTGTCCTTTATTCTTTTTATGTTTGCACAAAAAAGAGCTCAGAGGGCTTTTTTTTCTATCGTCTTCCTTATTCCAACAAAAAATAACTATTCACAAACAGGTAAAAACTCTGTGGTGGAGTGTCTTGGGTTCTTTTTTTTTATAGAAATAGAATTTCAAAATCGAAAGCTAAAGTAGAAGTGTATGAAATGGTTCCAGTAAAAATGATCAAAAACATGGAAGATGTTCGTGTTATTAGTTTAGGTACTGTGAGTGATGATGCAACAAAATGTATTCAGACAAATAAACATATTCTTGAGATCAATCCTGCTGCTTTGAATTGCGTCGATTATATACAGTGTATCAATTTTATGAACTCGGTGCGGGATGAAAAAGTAATTTTTATTATTTGGAATGGATGTATTACTGATATTTTATCAAAATTTCATGACTGTTCGTCATTATTTGCAGTTTTCCTCTACTCTAAGAAGCGTTCTTATGTTCATGATAAACTACGCTCTCAATATTCGAAGATCGTAGATGTATTCGATGACGAGAACGCCCTAATAGGATCGGTTCGAAATATAATTCAATCCATGGCGAGGATAGCTATCGCTGTTAGTTTGTTCGATCAGAAGCAGAAGTCCATTAGAGACTTGACGAAAAACTCGGCCTCATTTATTTGGTATCAACTTCTGATTAATGTATTAAAAGATATGATTCCAGATGCGCAGTCAAAAAATAATATGCTCGCGGTTTGTGAAGATTTCTACGCAAGCAATAAGGAAGAACTTCTAAAAATAGCTGAATTTCGAAAATCTTATACTCCAGACAAAGCTATTTGGTGGTATTCAGATGAGTGTTTTCTCTATAAGTTGCTTAACAGAGGTCTTCGAACAGAAAATATCGACCTGCTTTATTCTTTTCGATTTTTTATTATCGATCTCTCTACTGCATTGGAAAATGAATGTCAGAAGTTGAAACAGAATGGTTGGGTGACTGTCTATCGAGGACAACGTCTTTCAAATACGGATTTTGAAGAGTTACATGCTAGCATTGGAATTATCATTACATTCAACGGATTCCTCTCGACTTCAAGAGATATAAACGTTGCTTTAAGATTTGCTCACAAATGTGCAGCAATTGGAAATGATTTTAAAATATGTCTCATCGAAATTTGCGTTAACCCATCATTAGATTCAGTTGTTGCCGCTGATATCGAACAGTTTAGTAAAATGAAAGGTGAGAAAGAAGTTTTGTTTGGTCTTGGTACAACATTTAAAGTCGAATCAATCGAAATGGACGAAGCTTTAAACTTGTGGAGAATTCGTTTAATAACCACTGACGAAGGCGCTGAACGAACACATGATTATATACAAGCACAGAAAGAGATGATGAAAGAGTATAGTCCTCTGATCGGCTTCGGACGGCTCCTGTGGAATGAATTGGGTCAAATAGATCGTGCTGAAAAATATTTTAAAAATTTACTCCAGTCAGTTCCTCCAGATCATCCGGATATTGCCGATATCTATAATAGTATCGGATGTGTGTACGCTAAGAAAGGTGTACTTGATCAGGCATTGAAAAACTACAATGAAGCTTATGAAATTAGAAAACGAAAATTGCAGGAAACTGATCCAAAAATAGCGGGATCGTTACATAATATCGCTGTCATTTATAGAGCCCAAAGTGAAATTGATCGTGCCCTTGATTATTTTCTACAAGCTCTAACTATTCATGAAAAGAATTACGATGGAGACCATGAGGACAAAGGCTACACGATTGAATCGATTGGTTTAGTTTACAAGAGTAAATGTAAGTTCGACACAGCTCTTATATGGCTCAGCCGAGCTCTTGGTATGTACAAGCGACTTTTTCCTGCACAACATCCCGAAATTGCTAAGTGTTTCGGTAGTATTGGAAGTATTTACGAAGAAAAAAATGAACTTGACAGAGCACTTGATTACTACTACTGTCAATTGGAAATGGAAGAAAAATGTCTTCCTCCTGATCATTCTAGACTATTGAAGCATCTCGACTGGATCACCCGAATATACTGTAAGAAGCATGACAAAGAAAAAGCGCTGACTCTATATCAAGAAAAGTTAACGATTCAACGTACGATTTTAAATGATAATCATCCAAATATTGCTTTGAGACTCATGAAAATTGGAGATTTCCTTAAACGTCATGAAGAATACTATGGAAAAGCTTTGAAGATTTTGGAAAAATGTTCGCCTCCAGATCTATTGCTCAAAATTAACTGTCTAGATACGCTGAGTACAGTAGCCCTAAGTCAGAATGATTTCCAACTAGCTCTCACACATCAGCAAGATATTCTTGAGACCTGTAGTCGAGTATATGAGCCAAATCATCCCAATTTTCCTTTCAGGCTACAAAAGATTGGAGATATTTATTTCGAAAAATTACACAACTATCAGCAAGCTTTATATTATTACTCTGAAGCCTTATCAATGTATCAAATTATTTATCACTCCCGACGCAAAGAACTGTTTGATATTCAGAATAAAATTCGCAAAGTTCAACAGAGCCTGGCTGGTGACAATATGTTAACAAAGCAAGATGATAATCACGACGACGAATTTTCTCTTTTCGACTAAAACAGTATGACATTCTCTAATTGTTCATCTATATCTCCGCTGGAAGTGTGAAGATTTTCACTCATACTGAGGCTCGATGAAAAAAATAATGAAGTTAACTATCAATTTTGTTGAAGACTCAAACTCCCTTTTCATCTTCTTTCATTTCAATGGTAAAAACCTCTTCGAAAATTTTCTGCTACAACTGATGCCAAATGACAGTTTCATGTATGCTATTTTTGTCTCTAGTTGTGGAAGAAACAAAGAAAAATTCAGTCAAATCTGCGTATGTGTGACGCAGACTCATAGTGCATAACTGCAAATGCGGCTAAACAACGTGTATATGGAGTAGGCGGGTATATAAAGCAACAGAATAAATATTACTCAGAGCGTAAAAATATACGAAGTTAGTGATTGATTAGTGTTGAAGATTCATTACAAGTTGATATATTTACTTTGATATTCTAGCCAATTCATTCGTGACTATAGAAATATTGAAACTTCATGAAGAACTGAAGAGTTATCACTGGTTCAAATAATGTGTATGATTTGCCTATTTATGGTTATTAATAGTGAGTCACTATTAGTGACTCAATTCTTCTTTGTAAGTTGACGATAAAAATTCTAATGAATTCTTAAAGGAAGTTGGATTTGGAATGATTAAGCGTTGAGTTGCCAAAGAAATTCATCCAAGCTTTATCATCTCGGAACATCAAGACACACATGCACTGTTCGTGCTGAAGCTACACTTACAACAAAAATAATCAACTTTACGTATGGTATCGAATTTGATGACAGTACTTTTGACGGACGGAATTCAAATGCAAAGATGAGTTTATTACTATATATTTCTTTCTATATAATACATTAGTCGATATCTCGGTTTGAAAATGGCGCATGTGGCGTCAGAAGTTAATAGGACATGATGGAAAAGAAACTGCGATAACAAGTTGTGTTTATGAGTAATGCTTACACGAAGTGAGTGTTATTTCATTCTTCATTTAGTTTGGTCGTTTTACTTTCTATATCTTAGGGAATCGTGTATGGTTCAATAAAAGCTCATCGACGATTCAAACATGTCGAGTGAAAAGAAAAATCTCATTAAACAGCAATTTTCATTTCAGTGGTCGTCTTACAAATCAGCAGCTTTTAGTTCAGCTCATAAATTGATGATCATAATAGTATATTTTCTTTGTTTTATCTTTCAAGCAAGGGGAAAAAACTGATTTCTTGATTTCTAGTAATTTCTAGTGATTTCTTGATTTCTAGTGATTTCTGATATGAGAAATCAACTTTTTCATTGCTAGGAATCATTGGATATCACCAGAAATCAAGAAAGTAGTTTGTAACCCTTGATTTCTAGTGATTTCCAATGATTTCTAGTATCATAAATCAGCTCCCCCCCTTGCTTTCAAGTATATTCCGCTTAGGAATATCAAGTGTTTTCTCATATACAATGGATACGAGAAAAATTATTTGTATTCATGTTTATTTGACGTAAGTAATTATTGGTATACACCAATACCCTCAAGATTCAAAATTCAAATGTATTTTAAGCAAGAATACTAAGAGAGAGAAAATAAGCGAGAAAAATGAAGAATAGAATCAGTATAGCATTGATGTTAAACATTAAGTTCAAGATCATGCAAACAATAAGCGAAGAGTCAAAGTTGCAGTGTTCTAATCCAAATTACGAATAGTTGGATATGATAATCCAACATGCCAATCTGGATCGTATTCAGCCATTTCTACAGAAAGCTCACCGCTCCATAAACGTAACCACGGATCTTCGGTTCGTGCTCCTACTTCAATGAAATGTGTTTCAGCTGCCAGCTGCCATTAACGCGAATGCAGATTTGAAATATGGAGCGCATACCGAAGTAGTACTTCCACTACCAAAGAAGCTACCGCCTCGAAAATCTAACGCCATAATGCTACTTTCGCAAACATGTTGATGTTTAAGACATTTATCATTATTTGGTAGTAGCTGATTTGAAATTAACACTTGGTTATTTATGAGAAACTGAACTAGACTGTATACTCCTTGTTTGCCAGGCTGAGCCGTCATCTGAACCCGAATCTTATAAATCGTCGGAACTGAATGATGAGCAGCAAGTGACAGACGGGGAATTTTCGTAAATGTAGCTGATGCTATACCTATTTCAAACATTTCGAGATCTTGATATCGTGTGTAAAAATATCGACGTCGTAGCGGTTTATTTACATTCGAAGAACTTCTTTTTCCAAGATTGGAAATATTGATTATATTATTAGTTTTACTTGTAACAACCGGATTCTCTTCACTTGTGCGCAACATGGGAAGAAGATTAAAACTCAAAAACAATATGTAACACATTGTTTGATTCGAATTTTCGTCTAAGTTCTGAAACAGAACAAAATCTTCGCGTAAGAATATTGTTTCTTATTATAATCGGATCTTTTGATTAATCCACAGTGAAATATAGATATTTTCATTATTCTCATTCTGTAGTAAATCAGTTGTGTGAAAGGTATGGAAACAAAAACAAATTAGGTAGTTTTTTTCTCACAAGGTTCAGGTTAACCGTAGTCGGATGCGTAATTAGCATCCTTTGTTTTTTTAATGATAAACAACTCACCTGTCCTCAGCATGCTGCGGGAAGGAATACTCTCGATTTGTGTGTAATGCTTACGAAAATCGCTTCCACTTTTATATACTAGCAATACATTATTTTTTTCCCCGAAACTGCGATGCCTGAATTAGGCTCGTTTAATTTTGAAGTTGTACCATTCCAATAACATCAAGTATACCATTCTATTTTTCATGCATAAATATTCAGTTCCTTTTCACCAACTTCTAAGTCTGCATGAAGAAAGGTGTTCTCAATTACCAATTGATGTAACGATATGTAATCTCATTCAATCTCGTATAACTGAAGCAAAAAAGAAAGACACATATTGAGGGTGTGAGGGTGTGGGCCCACACCCACACCCATATTCTATATCCTGCAGGATATAGAATAACGTATTTAGTGATACTTCAGGGCACGATGATTCTAGAAGGTTGGTATATCGTCTAGTGGATTCTGATCAGGATTTGAATACAAATGTTACAAATTTTTGACATAGTATCAGATGGAGAGTATGTCTGATTATGTTACTTGCTATTTGGCATCCATTATTGCTGACAATAACAAAGTGATTTTAAATCAGAGTTTGCCGCTGCGAGTGTGTGGCATGTGAGATTCCTTGATAGATTTCGCGAGCGACATCTACACACTGACTATTCTATACTGTTATATTTGTTTGAAAATAAAATTTTGTTTCTAGAAGTTGTTTAAAAGAATTAATTTCGCACAGTTTTGTAAGCTCTGTCTATCAGCTTTGCAATTTAATGAAAAAATGACTTGCACAACATATGTTGAAAATCATATGTCATGGTCTAATTTGTCAGAAGGTAGATAAGATCATATCTTTCCCTCATTGGAGTGATTAATCATACTTCTGTTCTGTGAATCACGGAGTTGCATTCTTTCCTTCAATATTGACTCATGGCTTGTTGTAAACAAGCGGTGGGTATTTAAGTGAGTAATAACAATCGTAACAGCTTCATTCTACACGATGCTTCGAATCAAACGAGATCTTTCTGGCTTTAGTCAACAAGTAGAGCAACAGTATGTACCATTGAAACAGGTTAGTGTCGAAGCGTACATTAAATCGTTTGCTGCCGATGTAACTATCAAACAAATCTTTCGTAACGATGAGACAAAACCAATTGAAGCAATTTACTGTTTTCCAATCGAAGAACAAGCAGCAATCTACTCTTTTGTTGCTCGAATTGATGAACGAGAAATTGTTGCACATTTGAAAGAAAAAAAGGAAGCACAACGAGAATATATTGATGCTCTTCAACAAGGTCATGGTGCATATTTACTTGAACAAGATGAAAAATCTCAAGATAATTTTGTTATCAATGTTGGCGCATTACCAGCTGGTAAAGAATGTCATATCTCGATATCATACGTATCCGAACTAGATTTGGTTCAAAATGGAAGTAAAATTCGTTTTGTTATTCCAACAACTATTGCACCACGTTACAATCCAGACAAAGGTGGTATTAGTGCACCATCTGACACGACATCTAAATATGTTCAAACTACTCAGTATACAGTTGAATTTCATTGTCGAGTAACGAAAGCAAATGTTTCTCGAGTTAGTTCAACATCTCATCCGATCAAAATTGATCTCGCTCAAGAGGATGTGTATGTGATCGAGTTTGCTCAACAAAGCACTCATCTAGATCGAGATATCTTATTGGATATTGAATTAGTTAATAATCATTCGAATACCATTGTTGCAGTGGAACCAGGCGCTGTTATGGCATCATTTACGCCAACGGAAGAAGATTGTCAACGTGCAATGAATAATACTGAAATGACCAATGAATTTATTTTTGTTGTCGACTGTAGTGGATCGATGGAAGATGAGAACAAGATTGGATTGGCTCGTGAAGCCATGTTACTCTTTCTCAAGAGTCTTCCAGTCAATTGTCATTTTAATATCATTCGATTTGGATCAAATCATCGGGCACTATTCAACGAGATCACTGCCATTTACAATGAAGAGAATTCACAAAAGGCTGAACAGCTTACAAAACAGTTGAAAGCAGATTTAGGCGGTACTGAGCTAGTAAGTCTTCATTGCTTTTAACGATGTTATCTTAAACAGTCGGTCGTTTATCTCTATTGTAGTTACAACCTCTTCAATGGTTAGAAAAACATTCTCCAAGACAAGGTCGTGCAAGACAAATATTTCTGTTGACCGATGGAGAAATTTCAAATGTGAATGAGGTACTCGACTTGTGTCGTACGATGGCTACTTCTACACGAATCTTTTCATTCGGCTTGGGTCATTCGCCAAGTCGTTCACTAGTCAAAGGTCTTGCTCGAGCAACAAATGGACGTTTCGTTTTTATTCCACCTAATACTAGTGTTGACGTACACGTGGGTGAACAATTGCAAAAAGCTCTACAATCCTGTATAACAAACATAAAAGTGAAATGGAATCTGGCTACTGATGTAACAAGTGCGCCAACGAAAATGCCACCAGTCTATGCTAATGATCGTCTCATAGCGTATGCACTTGCAAACGATCCAACGTTTGTGTTCAATCATAACTCGAGTGTCGAATTACATACTGATGAGAATCGATTGGGAGAAGCAAAAATCGATTGTATACCACAGGTTAGCAACAATGGAACGATTGCAAGACTTGCTGCAAAAGCTCTTATTCTCGAACTACAACACTCGAAGCTACCATCCTCAATCGGACAGAATCATTCAGGGTCATTACAGAGTCGATTTCAGCACAATCAACCATCACCAATACCAACAGTCGACGAAAAAGAAACCACGAAGAAACGTATTATTAAACTTTCCCTCAAGTATCAGATTCTAAGTCCACATACTGCTTTTATTGGCGTTGAAAAACGAGTGAATGCCAGCAACGCTGATATGGTCTTGCGTGAAGTACCAATTCAAATATCGGCCGATGACGAACATTTATTGGGATCTCAACAGATGATGAATTTTTCTGCTCCTATGATAACATGCTGTGCAATGTCACCACCAACGCGCGGACTGTCGTTGAATAGCTTTGTTAACTACAGCGCATCTCGATCGAGTCCGATATTTGATTTTTTCATGTATGATAATTGTTGCACGTCTGAATCAATAGCCGATTTAGACGTCGCGGATGACGAGCCGAACAATTATTTTATGGACTCATGTGCAAACCCTCAGCCTTTGACTGTCCAAGAGAAAACTGAATCATGGCCAATAGATGATCAAGATATTGTTCGTTACTTGATCAGCAGACAAAAATTTGACGGTTTATGGGATTTGGATGCAAAAGATATAGAACAACTGACCGGAAAATCGCTACCAAACTTTCTATCATCCAATAGTAATCAGCAAATTGTTATTGCGGCCATTGTTATTGTTGCACTTGAAACACGTTTCGCTACATTGTCGACAATGTGGCATGCTGTAGTACAGAAAGCTCGCAAACGTCTTCTCGAATTACTCAACAAAGACGCTAATCAACTTCAATCACTATTAGAAAGGATTCGTCAAGAATTCTAAGCATTACTTTTTTTGTCGTTGTCTAACGTTACTTATATTTATCTGTAAAGACAAAATATTTAATATAGAAGAATCGATAATTTATTTAGTAAACCAACGCTAGTTATGCTTAATCTATGATTATGAAATAATTTCCTCTCCTAGTCAAGAGACGATCCTGAACATGCGAATAAACGAAGAAAAATAGCCTCAACATAATGATAATACACTATTCCTGCTTGCTTACTTCTTTTTCAAGACTTCGATTATTAATTGTCAAAAAATGAGTTCAATCTTGTGTTTAATGAACGATTCAATTAACATTCTTATCCATTTCAACATAGAATAAATTGTTTGATCATTACGTTTCTAAAATCATTACTTATGATTCGATGCCACAATAATATTCATTGTAGAAAGGTTGTTTTGTCTTTGTATAGTGATAGTTTCAACACTTCATACAAGCGTTTACATAATTAATTGTGGGTCTATAGATATTGGACTAGTAGATAGTATATACTGATTATTCCGATATGTGCGAAGATCTAAAAATACGAAATAGTCTCAATTTTTTTAAAGACTTCCTAGTAGACAGGAAATGAATGAAGCCTCCATCAACAAAAACCATTTGAGATCAAGATTGATCAGTAAAGGGAATATAATAGATATCATATTTAATTAAAAAAAGATCCTCTCGAACTCAATACAAATTTTAACAAATATATTATTGTTCATTGACTGTACCTCAATAAGAGATTTGCTATCTATCGGTAGAATCATTTTAAGTGAGAAATTTGATTGTATATAAGAAATACAAGAAGATTCGATTTTATTTCAGAAAATAATTTGAAAAAAAAATGTTAAAACTTCGTTACTGTAATTGTCTACGTGTCTGTTCATTATGTGTAAGAAGTTTTTCGTGTATGTAATTGTTGATTATGACGATTGCTGTTATGTTCTTAAGTGAATATAGGATGCTATTATGGTAATTTAGCACCAACATTCGCTCTTATCAATAGTTTTATTTCGGTAGTTTTTTCACTGCCCAAATTTTGCAAAGCTTGTTTATCTGATAGAGACTCAATGGCTGCAAGAAGCGCATTGGCATCAGAAGATGCGTTGTTTTGTTCTTCTTTAAGGATTCGTAATTTGATTTCGGCTGCTTGTTTGTTAACAGCGATTATCTTTTCTTGAGATTTATTAAGTATTCTTTTCTGATATTCACTCAACTCGTCTTGCCATTCGCCTAGTTGCTTTGACTGCCATTCATCGAGTGCAACAATGTATTTGTATAACCACTCACGATGTAATTCGTCATAGATCATTTGTCGTTGTTCACCATATTTCAAAAGTTCGTCTTGTTGAGTAGTGGCATCATCTATTATTCGTTGGATCACCGTTTCTGTCTCTTTAGATACTTTTTCTAGACGATATCTTACATTGACATCAAGACTTGCTTGTATATCAGTCATATTTGACATTAATGCGCCGATTTGGTAGGAGCTTGACAAGTTAACACATGTGGACGATGTAGTATTCATTGTCGATTGAACATTAGCTGAATCATGCAGACTTGAATTCTTCTTTTCCCATTTATTAGAATCCTTTTTTTCCTGACGATATTCTTGTCTGACTAATTCTTCTATGATTGGTTTAGCTTTTGATGGTACCTAGATACAAACAAAACTCATGAACTACTTCAATCATTTAAATACCAAATAAATAAAAATGTTTGGAATTCCGATTGAAAATAGCTTAACGAGTTATCTACTATTATTTATATTAACCTACGAACAAGTGATAATAATCAGTGTTCTATCTTGAAGGTGTGAGTATAAGTATGGCTTAATAATAAAACTACACCCACACTCTCAATATTTCTATATCTATAAAGGTAAATGAAGATTTTATCTTACCTCTGCATTATAGGCATTTTCTACTGAATATCGTTCTGAATCTTTTGGCCACTGAAACTGAAAGCTGTCTTCATTCGCTTTCGGTGGTAGTGGCCATTTTATATCTTCTTTCTCTTTGTGAGCTGTTTTTGGTCGTTTTGAATCTTGAAATATTGCAGGATCTTTCACCCATGGAGTGTTAGTTGGGTTATGTTGCTGTAATGGATCGATTGTTGCCATAGGTCTGATTGAGTTCCGATTAGTTTCTCTATTATTACTTGGAGCGCTACCCATCCTTAGACGTGACAAATTTTATGATCTAGAAGTAAATTTAGAAGAAAAATATTTATATCTGCTGATAATATATAAACATGATGACCAGCACAATTCACTCATAGTAAAACATAACAATAAAAATCGAACTGACATCGGTCATTCTCGGAAACGACAACAAATTTACCACTTGATACCAACACTGAGTATTCTTCTTATCCAGAATAGTAATTATAATTACCAGTGCTGTAAATAAGTGATGCAATAATTAGGAAAGTTCGCAGAAACCAATGAAACCAAACTGATATCGTTGCTGCATTTACGCAAGAATATGAGTAAAAGCAATACATTTATTTAGTGAGAGAAAACAATACTTGCAAACATGATATGAGACACAGATAATTTTAGTACAGACAAAATGAAATAAAAAGTAAAAAAGATAATGCTCTCGATTTAAACAAAACAAAAGTAAGTTCATCATGGCCGAGAGCACGAGCAAGGACACCATGACCAAAAGCAAGAACGAGTACAGTAGCAACAGGGTGCAAAACGCTCACAAGGACTCGATAAACATTCACAAAAGTAGTCGCAACAGAGGCAAGAGCATGAGTACGTGCAACATGTACAACAGCCGCACCAACAATATTTCGGTGGATCCCGAAACTTGAAAGAAGTAGGTGGCCGAATAGTTGGCTGTTTATTACAGATACAAGTAGTATACCGTCTAGCACATTCAACACAAAGATAACGTGAACGTATACGTTGAGGGGGATCAGCAGAAATCCCTCCACATACAGTGCAGGTACTAGAATAAATTCTACCGCAAGAATAACAACCGCAATCGGTACAAACATAATTATCACGACCATTAGTAGCGTTATTCTGAGAATTTTGCACTGAAATAATAAAATAAGAATGTACAATCATTCGCCATTACTAGAACAAAGCTATTCTATGGCATGTATACTTGTTGTGATTATTCTAACGGCTGAGGTTGATTTTAATGATAGACAGAGTATTGTCGCATGATTATGTATGACTATACGATAGTAGCAGATGCTGAATAAATTTAACACTAATAACTTCGTTTAGCTTAATTATAATCGTTCTCATATATATTGTTCTTCTGATAGTTGAAGTGCACAAAAATAATGACAAATCGACATGTTCATTGATATCATAATCTGATTTTGACTACAATTTTTTTTATTAAAATTCTAGTCTTTCTAGGTAAGGAGTTATATGCAACTCTTCGGGAAATGGAATCTCTAAAATTTCCTTAATCGTAAAAGTTACACACCAGTATAGAGCGAAAAATTTTCTCAGATTGTTGAAAATTTGTGCAACACTGACAGCAAGTTGCTCAATAGTTATTTTAATAGAAAACAATATATGGGTTGCATGATTCAGATAAAGTACAGTGATAGAAAGTTTCAGGATTTCAATTATTTTGCTTTTCATCGACTTATTCATCTACTGATGACATTCAAAAAGAGATGGCCGACATTTTTCACTGAAATAATTACGATAACTCACCCGTAGTCATCTTATTTAATTGAGTTACTTGGATCTGTGTTTGAGTGGTGCTTACTTCCACTAGTTGGTTGTCGTGGTAAAATGAAAATTTATAATTACCAATAGCCTAAAAGAAAACACTTATTTTGAAAATACCAATGTGTGAAGTTGATTACTGTAACTGATTGAAAAATCGTTCTACAATGTAAAATCTATCAGTGATATCTTTATGAGATGAAAATGTCAATGCATCTCCAGAAAGAACTAATTCCTCGACGTCTCAGCTACTCCCTATCAGATTTACGCACTTGTATGTCAGAGGACTGTAAAATATGTGAAAAACAAAATTGAAAAATGGATCCATTTACAGTAGAAGCGTAAAATTCGCAACTCGAATTGATGCATGTAAACAAAAATAAATGATAGATACTTAGTAGTTTACATTTCTGATTACATGTCTACTCGTGAAGCCAATTCTCCGAAAAACGAGAATAATCACTGTTTGAATCAAATTATATATAGAAGAACAGTGAGCAGTAAATCGATGTCTACCTCCAGGGTTACCACCGGATGAAGTCCAAAAAGCGGAAAATAGTGGAAAGAAAAACAGAAAAAGCGGAACAGCGGGAAAATAGTGGAAGAGGTGGCAACCCTGTCTACCTCCCTCCTTCTTTTCTTCCCATAAATGTTTTAGTTTATATAGTACGAGCAGGATGGCCAGATCAAAAATCAGAAAATGGTAGTTTTTGGCAAATTAGTAGATCTTCCGCTAAAATACTGGCATCTGAAATTCTGCTATGTTTCTGTTCATTGATTAAAACTATTTTCAAAGATGTTGCAATAAAAAGAAAGACAATATAGTGAATATATCGTTTAGCTAATACAAAAAATCGATAAGTGATACTTAATGTTGAGCTTCTTTTTCAATTTAAAACTCGTTCACATACATTCTGCGTAGATTAAGAAATCCAACGAAGAAAAAAAAACGTTAAATCCCATCATCTCGGTATTTTTATGCATATTTCGTATCTTTTGCATTTGTTCTAGTAAATTTGTTTAAGATAACATATGCCAATAAAAAGCTTTGTCAAGAATAAATACCATTCACTTTTATGTTAAGTTAAGCATTATTTGGGTATATATATATATATATATATTATCGGATTACGATAATCTAACTATAAATGCTTCATATGGCCAAAAATCAATTCGACACCAGAATTCGAACGAGGAATATAAAAGATGATTAATAGAGAAAATTAATGAAACACTATTGATTTATTATAGTAATGAGTTATAATTGTGCCTAATTTCAGTGACGAAATTCCGAAAAAAATCAGAAATATGTTTAAAATTCAGAATTTCTCCTTATTTTTCAGAAGATCTGGCCATCCTGAGCATGAGTCGAAACAAGTTCTCTATCGGCAACTTCAATTATTTACTGCCAGAAAACAGAAATGATGTCTTATTGAGGTTTTAGGAATATGGAAAAAATTTATATCACCATTTTCTTTCTACTTAAAAACTCAGAATCGATTTTACAGATGGTGATAAACTATCATCTAAACTTACTCTAGAGTTTTGTGCTGTAATGTATGACGTTCATAGCTATTTACGATGAAGATGAGTGACTTTTACTTTGTTCTTCTTCGATAAACAAGTAGTTTATAATAAATTTTCTATATACTCATGTTTGCACAATAAATGCGTTATATGTTTGACTTATTTGACTCAGAAGGAAGTCGTTTGTCAAGTCAAACATTATTTGTTTCTAGCGTCTAGTGTAGTTCAAAAAATATGAATGTTTAGTTTACTTTTCATCGTCAGTAATATGTTTCCGAAACATCTCCATGGTTATTCTATATTTAAATATTAAATGCGTAAAATATGTATTTCAAAAACAAGACAAACGATGATTGAAGAAGTATTACAACACTAATATTTCCGTTTCATTTCCATTTTGTATGATTTTTTATTAGAAGTGCAATCAACATTCCAGACAATTTTGTTTCCCAACATTATTTTACTTTTGTTCGATATAACTGTGCACAGTGAAAAATATTACTAAAAAAGAACGGTAAAGAATGCGTTCCAAAAGAACTGAAGCTCTTTTTTTAAGAAAAGAAAACGTTCCACAACAAATGGAAACCGTTCTCAAATGGAACGCACTAGAACGCATTCTATCATTCTAAGAAGGTGTTCTTGGTCGTTTCGAAATGGAACAGTGAAGAACGCATTCTGCCACTTGTGGAACGCTTTCTCTTCTTTAAAACGGTTAACCTTTCTGATCACCTGGGTGATCATTAATAGATGAATCTACAATTAGTCAAAAGACTGTTCCTGATGCAACTTGACGAGCTCTATCGAATGGCGTACTCCAATTCGTTGTAACTGAAACCGTTATTAAAATAATAATTTTTCTAAATCAGACCAAATATCCCTAAAGTAAAATCGAATGAAGATTCCATCATTTCTCACATCAATTTCAACCTGCTTTGCTTCAGACCTTTCATTTTAGAATGAAAATGTGGTTTGCTTCGAAAAGAAAGCATTCATCTCTTCAGAGAATCCATTGTCTTAAAGGCTCGTGAGAGAACGTAAAAGGAAGCTATTTTATTTCGATGAAATGCTATGTTAACCGTTCCGAAAGAAAATGAACTAGAATGAATTCTACTGGTTTAAGAATGATTCAGAATGCTTTCTCTTCAAATAGGGAACGATTTTTCAGTATAGAAGAAAGTATTCCATACTAGTGTGGAACGGTAAAGAACGAGTTCCTTCAGATCGAGAATATTTCTTTCTGACTCTGAACGCATTCGCTCAAACAAGGAACACATTCTCTACGTAGGAGATCGGTTTCCATATCCGCACGAAACCATTCTATTCCGGTTTTTTTCGAAATATTTTTCACTGGGTGTTCTTGAGAAATGTTTGTCTTTCATGAAATTTCCCATGTAGTCAATTTTAGGAAATAATGGGTATTGCAACCTAGGTCGAAGAGTCGGGCCTGGAAACGGCCGGTTCCGGGTAGTTCCGTTGATTTTGTGGAAGCAATATTCCGGTTGAAAAAACTTTCGGACTTTTTCCGGTGATTTTCGATCAATTTCTGCCGGAAAGCGCCGGAACTTGGCAGGAATCCGCCAGTATTGGATGATAGGACCAATTGATCGTGAAATGATCACATTTTCAGCAGAAGTGGATCACTCCACATAAAGTCATACGTTTTAAGGAGAAATGGAAAAGAAAGAATCTATATGCAAATATATCTATAGATAAATGTCATAGGTCCATAAGAAATTGAAGTTATCTTGGTCTAACTTTCATTTATTAATATATGTGATATTTATCAGTTTGATCCCTTTAGATCCCTTGAGCCCTTTTAACCTCTTGAATCCCTTTTTTAGATATAAAGTGATCAAAAGGGACTAAAAGAACTAAAGGTAGTAGAAGGACTAAAGGGAGGAAATGGAGGAAAAGGAATAAAAGGAGTAATGGGAGTAATGGGA